AAAGTATTCCCTCCGGAACCTCTCCACAGGCTGAGGTTTCCTTGGGAACCTTTGATGGAACGTTTCTATCAATACCTCGTCATTGATATCTTCGGCCATTACCCAAGTGTTTTCTGACTCCGGTTCTCCTTCCCACGCTACCAAATACTCCACCTGATCCCCCTTCCACCTGGCGTCGAGGATTTCTGCCACATGGCTGCTGCATTCTCTTTCTTCTATGACCGGTCCCCGAGTGGCCATCCCTTCTCGTCCCCTCGTACGGTGACAGTAACGACCTGTGAAATACTGGGTGCAGTTTCATGTGGTTGGGTAACCGGAGCCTGAAAGCCACTGGGTTGACCTGTTGAATGACCTCAAAGGGACCCAACCTCCTGGGTCTTAATTTCTTACAACCTCCTTTGAACGGCAACCCTTGGGTTGACAGCCACACCCTATCTCCCACCCTTATGGTTTCACCTTCCCTTCGGTTCTTGTCTGCCTGCCTCTTGTATTCTTCCTTCGCCCTTTCTAAGTTGAGTTGGAGCTGACGATGGATTGCTTCCATTTCTTCTACAAAATGCTCGGCTGCCGGGACGCTCCATCTCTCCCCTTCTCCCCCTGGGAAAGCCCTGGGATGACACCCATAATTAGCCAAGAAGGGGCTCATCCCTGTGGACACATTCTCGGCATTGTTGTAGGCAAATTCCGCCAGCGCCAACTTTTCTACCCAGTCATTCTCTCTGTCATTGACATAACACCTCAGGTATTGCTGGAGGACACCGTTTGCTCTTTCCGCCTGCCCATTGGTTTCAGGGTGCCGGGCAGTCGAAAAGTTGACCTCCACCTGCAGTAAGCTCATGAGCTTCCTCCAGAACCTGGAAGTAAATTGTTTTCCTCGGTCTGAGACCACCCTCAATGGCACCCCGTGCAACCTAAAAATGTGTTCTACAAATAACTTCGCTGTCTCTTCCGCCGTGACTGCATGCGAGCAGGCTACAAAGTGGCACATCTTTGTTAGTAGGTCTACCACCACCATGATGGCTGTTTTCCCTTTGGACTTCGGCAGATCAGTCATAAAATCTATCGACACTGCCTCCCAAGGTCGTTCTGGGGTTGGTAAGGGTTCTAATAGCCCCGCCGGCGCCCGCCTTTCCCCTTTGGCTCGCTGGCATTGCTCGCACCCTCTTACATACTCACGTACATCTTCCCTCACCTTAGGCCACCAAAATTCCCTGGTGACCAACCACATGGTTTTGTGTTGTCCAAAATGCCCCGCCGTGGGGCTGTCGTGCAACTGCTTGAGTACCCTCCCCTTAAGTCTCCTTCAGGGATATACAGTGCCCCTTTGTAATACAAAGCTCCATTTCTTTCCTCGAAACCCCTGGTTCCTCTCCCTCACCCCTAAGACCTCTGAGCTTATTCTGGGCGTATTCATCATTCTCTGTTTCCTCTACCAGTTCTCTTTGTCCCACCAATGCCGCCCCACACACCCAGCGGTCCTCTGGAATGACATGTCTCTCTTCGGGTGCTCCCTCCCCTTCCAAATATTCAGGTTTGCGTGAGAGAGCGTCCGCCCTAATGTTCTCTGGGCCTGGCACGTAACAAATCTCAAAGTTAAATTTGGAGAACTCCTGGGCCCATCTCACTTGCCGTTGGTTGAGCACTCGTGCCGTCCTCCAATACTCTAGGTTCTTGTGGTCAGTGCACACTTGCACCTTATGTTGTGCGCCAATTAGCAGGTGCCCCCATCTCCGGAACGCCTCATGAATGGCTAGTAGTTCTCGGTCATACACCGTGTAGTTCCTCTCGGATTTGTTCAGCTTTCGCGAAAAAAAAGGCACACGGTCTCCACTCTGACTCCTCCTTCCCTGGCTGCAGAAGCACCGCCCCAATCGCTCTGTCTGATGCGTCAGTTTCCACTCTCATCGGTTTTTGTAAATCCACATGCAGGAGTTGTTGTTCCGAGGCGAAGGCCCTTTTTAGTTCCTCAAATGCTCGCTCCGCCTCCTCAGTCCAAACGAACTTCTTCTTACTGCTGAGACAGTCCGTAATGGGCGCCGTCAGGTGGGCAAAGTTTCGGATGAACTTACGATAGAAGTTCCCAAATCCTAGGAACCTCTGCACATCCTTCCTTGTTTTGGGTGTTTTCCATTCCAGCACCGCCTGGACCTTGCCGGGATCCATGGCCAATCCCTTGTCTGACAGGCGATACCCCAGGAATTCCACCTCCTTGGTATGAAACTGACACTTCTCCAGTTTCACCCACAGCTGGTTGGCTTGCAGCCTGCTCAACACTGCTCTGACGTCTCTCACATGCTGCTCCTCATTCTCAGAATACACCAACACGTCGTCTAAGAAGGCCACACAATTCTTGTAAAGCAAAGGCCCCAGGACGTGGTTCATAAACGATTGAAAGCATGCGGAGCCTGCTTGTAGGCCGAAGGGCATAACTAAATATTCAAATGCCCCTAAAGGGGTGAACATGGTGGTTTTCCATTCATCCCCCTTCCTTATTCGTATCAGGTTGTACGCCCCCCTTAGGTCCAGCTTTGTGAAAATCTTTCCCTTCCGCACCCTTGTCAAAATGTCGTCAATCCTGGGCATAGGGAAGGCCACTGGTTCTGACACTGCATTTAAGGCCCTGAAGTCACACACCAGCCTCGGCTTGTTCGTGTTTTTTATCCACAAAAACACTGGGCTGCCCCCACCGCCCTGGACTCTCTGATGAACCCTCTCTTCAGGTTCTTGTCAATGAACTCTCTTAGCTCCTGCATCTCTCTGTCTGACATGGCGTACAGCTTGCCTACAGGGAGCTGTGCCCCAGGGAGTAAATTGATTTGACAGTCAAAGGGTCTATGCGGGGTAGTTGGTCAGCTTCCTTTCGCTGAAGACGTCGCGGAGATCTGCGTATTGTCGTGGTACCTTCACGTTCTCCGTTACTTCAGTCCCTGCTAGGGTGGCTTGGGCCCCTGCCAAACCCTTTCCCTCTTTGCAGTGTTCTAAGCAATGTGCTGAACCAAAAGAAACCACTCTCTGATGCCAGCCCACCAGCGGATCATGTAACGCTAGCCAGCTCATCCCCAATATAATGGGAGCTCCTCCCAAGGTGGCCACATTAAACGCTATCAGTTCGGTGTGCCTTGCCACCTTCATTATCATTGGGACGGTCTGCAAGCTGACTTCTCCTCCCAACAGCTCCCTGCCATCGATCGTGGTCACCTGCAGGGGGTTGCTTAAAGGGATCGTCTGTATCTGGTGTTCAGCTGCAAACTCTTTGCTCATGAAATTGCAGGAGCTGCCTGAGTCCAACAGCGCCTTTATCTTTAGAGGGTGTCCGTTTGGCAGCTCTAGCGCCACTTCTATCACTAGGGCGGGTTTAGGAGGTTCTGGCGTGGGCACTCTCACTGCTCTTTGGCCTGGCTGCTGTGCCCCGACGGTGGCAGCCAGGCGTTGGCTTTAACTTGCTCCGGTATTTCTTCCTCTCTTCCCTCCACAGCTCCTACCATCCCTTGCCATTCCTTCCTCTGGGGGCAGACTCTGGCAAAGTGACCTGGCTGTTGGCAGAGATAGCATTTCCGGGCGCCTTTTCCCTCCTTCTTTCCCCCCTCACTGGGCTTTGAAACTGCGCGTGCGCGCGCTGTTCCGATTTCCATCGGCTCTGCCGGCGGGAAAGTTGTCTCTGGAATGTCTGGAATGCGGAACTCCTTCCAACGTTCCCCTTTCCCTTCCCGCCTCTCCAATGCTCTCGCCTCCTGGCGCGCTCCTATGGTCAGCGCTGATTTGGTCAGCTGGTCCATAGACTCCGCCCTGGGCGCCCGGGAAAGTTCGTCTTTCACAGCCGAAGAAAGCCCTTCTTCAAAGAGCATTTGAATGGGTACCGCCGATAAGTCCCACCCCAATCTGTGAACCAGCATGGTGAACTCAGTCCAGTACTCACGGACAGATCGGCTCCCCTGTTTGCAAGCCATTAACTGTCTGCGCACCACTCCCTGTTCAATATCGCTGGAAAACATCAGATCCATGGCGCGAAAGAACTTCATCGTGTCCTTTAGGACGTCACTATTCGCTGCCATCAGGGGTCTAACCCAGTCTCTCGCCCCCTTTTCAAGATGCCCAATCACGAAAGCCACTCGTGATTCCTCGTCAGGGAATTCATCAAACTGCAGATTGAGGGCATATTGCATCTCTGTCCGAAAGCCATGATAGTCTTTGGGCTCCCCCCCAAACTTCTGCACCAATCCTGGTACCTTTCTGGCGAGCTGGGTGGCTTTCCCCTTTTTTGTCTGCATCCTGAGCCCTCCTCTCCTCAAGCCTCGCCGTCTCCAGCGCTAGCTGGACCTCCAACACCCGGTACCTTTCTTCCAGGCTTGGACCCGCTCCAGCTCCTGCTTCTCCGGTTCCGGCTGGGTTGCTCATGATGCCTTCTCCTGCACAAGCTGCTTTCAAAGACTGTCGGAATGCTGTGAAGGGATGATGAGCTGCTTGTGCGTAAAATCGTATCCCCTCAGAGTTTGTTCAAGTCCACAAACCTCTGTCTGTGACGGAGCCCCTCAGACATGGCTCCTCTAGTCACTAGCAGATTCCGACAGTGGTTGCTTTCGGAATCGCTTCCAACATAAAAGCTCCTTAACGGAAACACGTCTTCTGGACTCTCTGCGTGACAGTTTCCGGCGAGGAGTGGGTGTCCCTACAGGAGGTCCTGAAACCTCCCCACTGTTTTCGCTGGAAGTGTCTCTGAGCCATCCCTCCAGCTCACTTTCCCTCAGCTCAGCTCCTCTCCCCCTACTGGTTCCCTCTTCAGCTGCTGAGTCTCTCCCAACCTGTGTGAGCCCTTTCACCTCCCTTCCTTCCGATGGCAGTTCCCTGACAATTACTATCATTTGATGACATTGCATTTTCATTTCCTAAAAATTTGGAACAAGGGTAGGATGCGGGGAAATGTAGGATATGTTGAAATATGAGGTGGTGCTAATGGCATCTGATGTGCTCTCTTTTCCTTTGTTGTCTTCCTTGAAACCCAAACAGGATTTCCTTTCCTCCCACTCTGAAGAAGGTGAAGGAGAAGACAGTCAAAACTTCAGGGGATCGGGCACCTTCAGTTTAATTAGGAAGAGAAATTAAAATGTGCCAAATGTGGAATATGCTTCACTGAATGAGCATACATAGCACACATAAACCATTTAAATGTATGCAGTGCGGAAAGAGCTTCAGTTTCAATGGAAGCCTTAGAACACATCAACTGACTCACACGGGTGAAAAACCTTTTAAATGCATGGAGTGCAGAAAGAGCTTTAGTGAAAATGGAGACCTTAGAATACACCAACGGACTCACACAGGGGAGAAACCATATAAGTGTATGGAGTGCGGAAAGGGTTTCAGTCGGAGTGGAAATCTTAAACGGCACAAACGGACTCACACGGGTGAAAAACCTTTTAAATGCATGGAGTGCGGAAAGAGCTTTAGTGAAAATGGAGACCTTAGAATACATCAACGGACTCACACAGGGGAGAAACCATATAAATGTATGGAGTGCGGAAAGAGTTTCAGTCGGAGTGGACACCTTAAACGGCACAAACCGACTCACACGGGTGAAAAACCTTTTAAATGCATAGAGTGTAGAAAGAGCTTCAGTCTGAATGGAAGCCTTAAATTACACCAGCGGACTCACACGGGTGAAAAACCATATGAATGCATGGAGTGTGGAAAGAGCTTTAATTTCAATGCATCCCTTAGAACACATCAACGGACTCACACAGGGGGAAAACCATTTAAATGTATGGAGTGCGGAAAGAGCTTCAGTCAGAGTGGAGGCCTTAGAACACATCAACGGACTCACACAGGGGAAAAACCATTTAAATGTATGGAGTGCGGAAAGAGCTTCAGTAAGAGTGGAGGCCTTAGAACACATCAACAGACTCACACAGGGGAGAAACCATATAAATGTATGAAGTGCGGAAAGAGCTTTAGTGAAAATGGAAAACTTCGAATACATCAACAGACTCACACAGGGGGAAAACCATTGAAATGTATGGAGTGCGGAAAGAGCTTTAGTTTCAATTCAACCCTTAGAATACATCAACGGACTCACACAGGGGAGAAACCATATGAATGTATGGAGTGTGGAAAGCACTTCAGTCAGAATGCACACCTCAATATACATCAACGGACTCACACAGGGGAGAAACAATATAAATGTATGGAGTGTGAAAAGAGCTTCAGTCAGAATGGAAACCTTAAATTACACCAGCGGACTCACACGGGTGAAAAACCATATGAATGTATGGAGTGTGGAAAGAGCTTTAATTTCAATGCATCCCTTAGAACACATCAACGGACTCACACAGGGGAGAAACCATTTAAATGTATGGAGTGCGGAAAGAGCTTCAGTCAGAGTGCACACCTCAGTATTCATCTACGGACTCACACAGGGGAGAAACCATTTAAATGTGTGGAGTGCGGAAAGAGCTTTCATCATAATGGAAGCTTTAGAAGACATCAATGGAATCACACAGGGGAGAAACCATTTGAATGCCTGGAGTGTGGGAAGAGCTTCAGTGAAAGTGGAAATCTTAGAAAACATCAGCAGACACACACGGGAGAAACCATTTAAATCTATGGCGTGTGGACTTCCGGGTCAGCGCCATTGGTGAATGGCGGAGTTCCTCCGACCGGAGGAATGGGCTCCGTGAAAACTGGGTCTTCCCGCCGCGGCGAAGGTGGGGACCCGCTAGAAATCCCAGCCGGAGGAAGCCTGGGAACGTGGGGTTCGGCAGGGCACCAGAAGCGCCCCCTACCCATGGGGAATCCCATCTAGGGGCTCCGGAGCGAAGTGGGGTGAGAAGCGCGGTGCTACGAACTGACTGCTACTTTCACGGAGTGAAGCCGCACAGCCATTGCCAGAGAGCGCTGACATTTTCCTGTGGACAATTGGACTTAAAACAAGTACCCGTGAGTAGAAACGGAAAATTGGATCAAGAAATTGTTTTAATTTGGTAACGAAGCGGGAAGGTGTAAACAGGAAGTCCGCCTTCCGTTTCTTTGTATATAGACTAAAGCAAAAATTTGCAAGCTAAAGCCGGGAAGCTGTCAAAAAGGACTAAATTTCCTTCATTTAGAACCACTGAAACCCCCCTTGGAAGCAGGAGAAAAGGGGGGGGGGACTCTGTTTAACCCTAGCAGGAGAGGGAGTGAAGAAGGATAAGTTTCCATCATCTCTAAACTGGGAACGGGGTGTCAGAGACAGAAACTGTTGCTGAGGTTCATTGACGGTGAACGTAACACTTTGACAGATAGCTAATGAAGAGAAACAAGTTGATTCTAATGTTGCCTTTTGCATCTTAAAGAAACAAAATATCTGAAAAACGTCTGAAATAGCTGAAAAGTGAAAGTAACTTTCCTTTGTCTTTAAAGAAAAAAATGGCTACAAGTAGATTGTCTCCTCTAGAGGAGCTTGCTAAATTGTTGTTGCAGCATATTTGAGACCCAACATCTGTGAGATTAAGACTGTGGGAACAGACTTTTCCGACCTTGAACAAAGATGAGCTGGGAGAAAGACTGGTTGCTTGCTCTATGCAAGACAAATGCTTTGCTGGAACAGATGCATGAAAAGATGTACTTGATGAATGAGAAAATGGATTTGACTGTTGTGGTTAATAACATCGATACAGAAATCATCCGAGAACCAACCTATCAATCTGTACCGACTGGGCAAGTGCAGTTGACAATGGAGGAGGATGTGGCTGCACCTCAAATAGTACAAATGGAGAGACCCGAGGCCCCACAGGAGCATAAGCCACTGTTATTGAAGATTGAAGCTGGAGTGGGCCAAGGGGAGTCTGGAGATGAGGAGACTTCTAGCTTTGGAGAGATTCTGAAATTTGATTTTAAATTCATTTTGGATTACATCGAGGACTGTGGGGAGTGGGACTGTGGGGAATGGGTGAGCTGGGTGAAGGGTGATGGAGACAATTTTGGGTTGGAATCCCCCAGAGACCTACTCCTCAATGAGAAAGGAAAGAAACTAAGACAGAGACCAACAAGAGACAAGGAAAAGGGCAAGCACAAAGAAGATGAAGAAGAATTGCAGAAGGGACATGGAAGAGATTTAAGGGCCTCGGACATAAGGCTTCCAGGTTGATGGACTAGACGGAATGGACAATAAGGACAATAAGGACTGACATGACCCGAGACCAGGAAGAAGAGACGCTGGATGATGATTGGAAGAGAATTTATAATGGAAACTTTTTTATTTTAGAATCAGCTAATGAATATTAGGGAAAATGTGGGAATGAAACTATACGAATCTAGCAGAAATGATATTAGGAGTTATGTATATTTGAAATTTAAGATTTAAGTTTTAAGGCACTTAGGGGTAAGATAAGGTTAAATAAATTAAGGTAATCTAATAATAGAATATGGGGAAAGATGGTAAGGATTTGTTAATTATTAGGTTAAATTGTTAAGACAGATTTTATAACAAAAATTGAGAAAGATGGAAAGAATTTGCTGAAATAATCACTAAACTAGAATACAAAAACGGAGGTGTGAGGAGGTCAATGAAACAAGCAAATGGAAATTATGGATATGCAATTTGGGATTTGTGTTTTTTTCTCTTTTTTCTTCTTTTTTACTTTTTTTATTGCTGTATTGGTTTTCACATTTTGTGCTTTTCTCTTTTTTTATTGTCTTCTTTTTCTTTTTTCTGTTTTTGTATTGTAGTGTTGTTTGCTGAAATTAGCAATAAATAGTATTTTTTAAAAAAATCTATGGCGTGTGGAAGGAGCTTCAGTCAGAGTGGAACCCTTAATTTACGCCAACAAACACACCCAAGAGACAAACCATATAAATGTCAGGAAAGGCGATAAAGGTTCAGTCCTAGTGGAAGTCCTATATCAACAGACTCATGGACAGGAAGAACTTTAAGAGTTGAAACCCGACAAACCATCAACAAACTCAAAGCGGAGAAGCAGCTTAAATGGAAGGATTACAGAAAGTGCTTTAGTTATAATGGAGTGTTTAAGAAACATCAAGAGAGTCTCAGATGGGAGAACCCATTTAGATGTATGGAGTGCGGGACATGTTCCTCTCAGAGTCCCCTCTTCTTCACAGCAATGAACTCAGAGGAGATCCGGCTTCCGGCTTCAGGGCCCAGCTGAGTGTTGGCATTATCTCGAACTAGGTAACTCCTCTCTAATCTTCACTGTGTCTGTGTCTCTCCCTGCTTCTGAGACCACGGGAAATGAGGGGGGCTGTTTCTCCCCCTCCTCTTCTGAGGAAAGCTAATCTCCTTGAGAATGCATTCCCCAATATTCAGCTTCAGACCATTCCCTGACAAAACACATTGCCCTGTTTCGTTCCAGCCTCTTGCTTCCCTTGCTCCCTTCTGCTGGTGTGTGTACCTGTGTGCTGTATTTCTTTAAATGAAGGTAATGTCTCACAATAGTGAGAATAATTTTAGATATAAAGTACCTTTTGACAGGGACGCGGGTGGCGCTGTGGGTTAAACCATAGGTTCGTGGTTTGAATCCCTGCGACAGGGTGGTCTACCATTACTCGGTCCTTGCTCCTGCTAACCTAGCAGTTCAAAAGCATGTCAAAGTGCAAGTAGATAAATAGGTACCGCTCAGGCGGGAAGGTAAACGGTGATTCCGTGTGCTGTTCTGGTTTGCCAGAAGCGGCTTAGTCATGCTGGCCACATGACCCGGAAGCTGTACGCCAGCTCCCTCGGCCAGTAAAGCGAGATGAGCGCCGCAACCCCAGAGCTGGTCACGACTGGACCTAATGGTCAGGGGTCCCTTTACCTTTACCTTACCTTTTGATAGAGAAAGGGAGAGGGTGAATATGGATTGCTGGTGGTGGGTGAGGAGTAGGGCTGGGCGATATATTGATATATTATCCAATGCTGGTTTCTAGACCATATCCCGATAACCTTTGAAAAACAATTGATATGTCAATACACTGCGAATCACAGTGTGTGTTTCTGGAATGCACATTTACCTGAAAGGAGCCGGCAGAAAGCTTTGCTTCGTGAAGTCCCTGGAGATGCTACGCTGCTGACTTCACTCCCAGACGACAGGAAGCAAAACACACTCATCCATTGCCCTGTGTCCTTCCAGCCTCTTTCCTCCCTTGCTCCCTTCTGCCGGTGTGTCTGCCTGACTTAGATATCCTGTGTGCTGTATTTTTTTACTGCTGAAACTGGATTTGCTCTCAGGAGCTAATTTTGTGCCTCTCTGGGGACCCAAGTGAGAACTGTATGCTTTGAAAGCTCAGTAAACTATTACTGAAGAAGTCCTGCTGCCCCTATGTGTGTTTTTGTCCTCAGCGTGGGACTTGCTCTGCATGTGGCCCCTACCCTGCTGCTACTTGGCTCATGCCCTGGAGTTGCTCTACTCAAGCATGCAAGACGGGTGCATCTGTGTGTGACTGGTTTTTGCACCAAACTCTGTCACCACCACCACCGCATGATCTCCAAACACTGCTTCTTCACCAGAACTTCATCCCTGCCCCCTGCACATTCTGAAGAAAACTTAAAATACTGTAATTTATTGGGAGATAGTCCCCCAAGCCTTATTGCAAGAGGGAGAATGAGGAGCTGCAGGTACCCAACAGAACATTAAAAATACAGAGATTGAGGTCAGCAGAAAGCGAAGCGAAGCCTACTCCAAGGGAAGCCCTTCAGCTTCCAGCCTGTCCGCTCCCACAAGGGCTGAAGGAGACTTGCCATTTGGGGATGGCAGAGCTGAATGGAAGCGGGCAAGGAAGCCCCACTATCACTCCTGCCACAGGAATAGTGTCACTCACCCCTATACTCAAAGCTGATTGACAGGAAGGAATTCCTCCCCACCCTTGTCACATGCAGCTGGGCTCACTTGCCAGAGCCACCTCGAAAGACTGACTAGAATTCCCATTGATGTACTGTCTATGGAAAAGGAGGCGGATTCTCTGTTATGTTTCTGTGATTGTTATTAAGTAAACGTATACGTTATAGTCCTGAAAGTGTAAAGCCTTGGCTCTAACGTGGTCGTGTTGATACCACAAACGTACTGTGTAATGCTTTGAATGTGCTACTGAAACAGACTTTGTAAAACTTTGTACAAAATAGCTGCAACAAAGTGAAACTGTTGCTGTCATGACAGACCCAGTATAGAGAACTCCACACTGCCGTCTACTGGGTCTACAGTATATAAAAAAGCACCCATTCATGACTAAGACACTTTTATTGAATAAACCATTCTTCAAACAAAGTAACAGCCATTCACAAATAAAGACTAACTTCTCCCAGTAATAGTTCCAATCTGACACAAAGATGGGAACATCTTGTGGGAATGTTCAGGGTGGCAGGAGAGGTTATATTGTTTGTTAATATCCTTCCTAACTTGTGGCAGCAAGTTCCTTTATGTAGCAGAGCACATTCCCCTTTTTACATGCACAGCAAATAACTGGTTGCAGGCTCGTGTGAGCCTCTCGCTATTATACAATTCAATCTGTCTCAGATTGACTTGTACTGCTTCTGATGGATCACATTCCACACATCTTAGCACAACAGTGGGAACTGTGAACGCCCATACATGCACTGCTTGTTGCTTCCAATGCTGTTTCCTCTGCCCATTCCTGCAGCATCACAAAAGGGACAGCCATTAACAGAATGGGTGCAGCCCAGACCCCAGGACCAGGTACTTTGCAAACACATGAATAATGTCACTATCACCATCCACTTCACAAGCGATCCTCACCTGTAACCTCACACTGCGGCACCTCCTTCCTGACGTCCTCCATGACAGATCTACAAGGGTGGGAAATGGTGGGGTGGACAACCTTTTCCGAAATTTTTAAAAGTATGGTCTTCCTTTTGTTCAGAGTTCCCACCTTCCTCCTGCATGAGTGGCTTCAGACCCTGCTGCAGAAGGTCTATTAATAAAAGATCAGGGAGGATGTGGGTGGCGCTGTGGTCTAAACCACAGAGCCTCAATTTCCGGGGGCAGCGCCAGCGGCTAATGGCGGAGTTCCTCTAAGCAGAGGAGCTAGCTCCGCGAAAATCGGGTCGCCCGCTACAGCGAAAGCGGAGACCCGTCAGAAATCTCAGGTGGGAGAAGCCTGAGAACGTGGGGGTTCGGCAGGGCACCTGGAGCGCCCCCCTACTCGTGGGGAATCCTTTTTTTTAAGGGCTCCGGAGCGAGTGGGGTGAGTGGCGCGGTGCTGCGAACTGAATGCTACTTTCGCGGAGTGAATCCGCACAGCCATTGCCGGGGAGCGCTGACCTTTTTCCTGTGGATATTTGGATCTAAAGCAACTACCTGTGAGTAAAGTGAAGGAATTGGACTTTTAACAGTTGAATTCGGCTACGAACGGAGAGGCGTAAAACAGGAAGTCCGCCTTCCTTATTCTGTAAATAGTGGGAAGCAAGGAGCTTTAAACTAAAGCCTGAAAAGACTGCTTTTGGCATTTAAATTTTCAGCATAAAACTAGTGAACCCCCCCTTGGTCGCAGGGGAAAAAGGGGGAATTTCTGGACATTATTTCCTTGCAGGAAAAGAGAGTAAAAATTAACGTTCCATCGCTCGGAACCTGGGAACAGCAGCCATTAAAATCGCTGCATTGTGGAGCTCCTCATTGACTGTGAATAGACCAACTAACTGTCAGTGAGTGAAACATTGTTTCAACTATCTTCTCTTGGCTTAAGAGTTACAACTTTGCTTTTGAACTAAAAAGCTTGTTATCAAATATACTGCTATAACTTGTTAGAGTAACTTTAAAGAGGAAAATAAAAAGAAAAGGATACTTTGGACTAATATAAGACAATGCACCAACTACTTCCCTCTAGAGGAGGATTTTGAAACTGTTATAAGGAGTGGAATTTCCCAGCTTTAAAGACAAAACCCTGGGAATCATATCTGACCTTGAGAGCCTGGTGTGTTATGGCAGATGGGAAGGGAAAAATAGATTTATCACAGGAAAAGACAACTAGATTCGGCAGAATCTTTTGGACAGCCTCTACATCTGGCCCCTCTGCTCCCTCTGCAGCTGTGTCAATGCATACTAAATCAAAAGGAGGAATGCCCTCGGAAGAAGATTGGGCTCTTGTTTTAAGTAAAATCAATAGTTCTTTGGAACAAATGAATAAAAAATTGGATCAAAATTCACAGAAATTGGACCAAAACACACAAAGTATAAAAAGTTTGGAACAAAAAGTCAGTTCCAATACAGAAGCTATTGAGACGCTAGTTAAGGAATCTAACTCAACTAGACAGACTGAAGAGGAAGCTAAGGAAAAGATTGTTACGGTAGAAGTGAAAGTAGCTCAATTGGAAACAGAGGTCCCGGATGTGTGGAAACAAGTACATGACCAAAAACAGATGCTTTCTATGTTTGAGCTCAAGGAGAAACAGATAAATTTGAGAATTCGGGGAGTACCTGAACTAGAAAAAGACTCCTTGATAGATTTTCTTACAGAGGAATTCACAACCTTTTGGAAACGGGACCTACAAAAAGAGGAGTTTAAAATTGTGAGAGCCTTCAGACTGGGAAGAGGTGGGAAGAAGGAGAAGAACAGAATAAGAGACTGTTTGATTACACTCAGATCAAAGGAAGAGAGGGACAAAATTTTGAGTTGGCATTACGAGGAGGCCTTGACAATACACACATTTAGAGTGGAGATATTTAAAGATATTCCCAAATATCTCTTAGATTTGAGATTCAATTATAGAGATTTGGTTGATCTGTTGAGAAGGAACAGAATTAACTTTCGGTGGGAATTCCCTCAAGGCCTATCTTTCAGCTTTAAAGGAAGAAAAATAAAGATAAGATCATTGGAGGATAAAATAAAGTTCTTGCACAATTACGAAGAAGACCTACAGAAGGGAATCGGAAAAGAGCCAACATCACCGGAAAGAGGGTCACCAGACAGAGGATTGGAGCAAAGAGTACGGAAGAGAGCATCACCAAAAAAAGATACTTTGGATACTTTGGACATTTCATCATTGTCTTTTGGACTGGACCCCCCCCCCCGACAAGGAGTTAACGTTACTACCAACAGAAGAGGAACAAGAGCTGGGGGCAGTTGGGGGGGCACCAAAGTAGCTACAGGATGACACTGCAGGCCCTGAGTTGGAATGTCCATGGCCTCAACATTTCAGAGAAAAGGTGACGAGTGTTTCATTTATTGAAAAAAGAACAATTGGACTTAATTTGTTTACAAGAAACGCATGTGACAAGACTACACAGGAAATTATTAAGTAACAAGAAATTAGGCCAAGAATTTATTTCATCAGATAAAGTCAAAAAAAGAGGAGTGGTACTCTATGCAAAGGAGAACCTATCACCCAAATTTATCTTCAAAGATGAACAAGGAAGACTGGTAGCAATTGAAATTCAATTACAAGGAGATAGATATTTGGTGATAGGTATCTATGCACCAAATGAAGGGAAATCGGAATTCTTCAAAAAGTTACATGAAATCTTGATGGACTATATGGATTATAACATGATTTTGATGGGAGACATGAATGGTGTCGTATCTACAAATATGGATAAGGTGCAAAGACAAACAATTACCAAGGATGGAAGACTACCAAAAACATTTTTTGATATGACTGATAACTTGGACTTGATTGACGTTTGGAGAATGAAGAATCCTCTGGGAAGAGAGGGAACTTTCTTCTCGGAGGCAAAAATGACATGGACAAGAATCAACCAAATCTGGGTAACTAGAGGACTGGCTCCAAAGATCAGCAAGGCTGAAATTTGCCCAAAAACTAGCTCTGACCACAACGCGGTGAAGATGGAAATGAAATTAATGCCAACTGGTTCCTTCAGATGGAGGATGAATGACTCTTTGTTCAGGAATGATGAATTTATTAAAAAGGCCCAAAAAACTTTGAAAGATTATTTTGAGATAAATATGAATACTTCAGTGGAAAAAAGAGTAATCTGGGACGCAAGTAAAGCCGTAATGAGAGGTTTTTTGAAACAACAGAATGCAAATAAGAAGAAAAGGCAAAATGAGAAAAAAGACAAAATTCTGGAAAAAATAAAGGAAGGAAAGAAGAAACTGAGGGCGAAACCAAAGTCTCAGGAAATTTTAAAAGAAATAAAGCTATACCAAGTACAATATATGAAAATGATGAACCAGGAAATAGAATGGAAGATTAAACAGATGAGACAAAAGACATTTGAATCGGCAAATAAGTGTGGGAAACTACTGGCTTGGCAATTGAAAAAAAGACAAAAATTAAATACTATTACGAATCTGGAAGTGGAAGGAAAGAATATACAGAATCCAGCTGAAATTAGAAGGTGCTTCCAGAGGTATTTTAAACAATTATATACACAAGAAAAGCAGAACGAAATGGACATTGATAAATTCTTGAAAATAAATGGACTTCAAAAAATTTCCCAAGAAAACAAATTAATGTTGGATTACAAAATAACGGATCAGGAAGTAGAAGGGGTCATTCAGAATATGCAACTAGGTAAATCTCCAGGACTGGATGGACTGACTTCTAGATACTATAGAACTTTGAAAGAATGGTTAATACAACCATTAAAGGAAGTCTGCAATGAAATATTGGAAGGGAAAAGGGCACCTGAATCGTGGAAAGAAGCATATATTACACTTATACCAAAATCAGAGTCTGAAAAGACGCAACTTAAAAACTACCGTCCCATATCACTGCTTAACGTGGATTATAAAATTTTTGCAGACATTTTGGCTAAAAGATTAAAAAGGGTGCTAGCAGAAGAAATTCATAAAGACCAAGTGGGCTTTCTCCTGGGCAGACATTTGTCTGATAATACAAGGAATATAATTAATATTTTAGAAAAGCTACAAGTGAAGATTAATACTAAAGCAGTTTTGATTTTTGTGGATGCGGAGAAAGCCTTTGACAATATTTCTTGGAGTTTTATGAAGAAGAATCTATTGGGGATGGGATGGGGGTTGGTAAAGGTTTTGGAAATGGTATAGGTGCAATCTACTCAGAACAAAAGGCTAAATTAATTGTTAATAATGTAGTGACGGAAGAATTTAAGATTGAGAAAGGAACACGACAAGGTTGCCCAATCTTTCCATTGCTTTTTATTTCGGTCCTGGAGGTTCTGCTAAATATGATTAGAAGGGACCAATTGGTTAAAGGTATACAAGTGGGAGCTAAACAGTACAAACTGAAAGCATTCGCAGATGACTTAGTATTGACTTTACAGGAGCCAGAATCAAGCACTAAAAGAGTACTAGAATTGATTCAAGAATTTGGTCAGGTAGCAGGTTTTAGGTTGAATAAGATGAAAACTAAAGTTTTGGAGAAAAATCTACATGAGATTGAGAGAGAGAAGTTTCAGAAGGAGACAGGACTGACACTGGTTAAGAAAGTGAAATATTTAGGGGTTAATATGACTGCTAAGAATGTGAATTTATTTAAGGATAATTATGAAAAATGTTGGACTGAAGTGAAAAAAGAATTAGCAATATGGTCAAATCTGAAGCTATCGTTGCTAGGCCGAATTGCCATGATAAAAATGAATGTATTGCCAAGAATGTTGTTTTTGTTTCAAACATTGCAAATTTTGGACAAAATGGACTGTTTCAAGAAGTGGCAGAGAGATATCTCCAGATTTGTCTGGCAGGGCAAGAAGCCTAGAATAAAATTTAAAATATTAACAGATGCAAAGGAAAGAGGTGGATTTGCCCTGCCAGACTTTAAACTTTACTATGAATCAGCAGCTTTTTGCTGGTTGAAAGAATGGTTGCTTCTTGAAAACACTGACATTTTGGATTTGGAAGGTTTCAATAATGTATTTGGTTGGCATGCATATTTGTGGTATGATAAGGTTAAAGCACACAAGGCGTTCAAAAGCCATATTGTAAGAAAAGCACTGTTTAATGTCTGGATAAGATATAAGGATTTGTTAGAAAACAAAACCCCAAGATGGCTGTCACCAATGGAAGCAAAGGCTCAGAAAAAACCAATATGGAGGCCAAATGGCCGAAGTATTGGGAAATTTTGGAACAAGAGGGTGACAGATTAAAACTGCAGAGCTTTGAAAAATTAAAAAACAGAGTACGAGATTGGCTCCATTATTACCAAATAATGGAGGCATATAACTTGGACAAGAAACTAGGCTTCCAGGTGGAAAAATCAAAGCTGGAAACATAATTGTTAGACCCTAAAGTTAAGAATTTGTCAAGAATGTATAACTTGCTGTTGAAATGGAATACACAAGATGAAATGGTGAAATCTGCTATGATTAAATGGGCACAAGATGTTGGACATAATATTATGATGGCTGACTGGGAACAGTTATGGACCACTGGTAAGAAGTTTACGGCATGTAATGCCTTAAAAGAGAATTTAATGAAAATGATTTACAGGTGGTACATAACACCAGTCAAGCTTGCAAAAATTTATCATTTGCCCAATAATAAATGTTGGAAATGTAATGAAATTGAAGGTACATTCTTTCACCTTTGGTGGACATGCCCAAAGATTAAGGCATTCTGGGAGATGATCTATAATGAAATGAAAAAGGTATTTAAATATACCTTTCTAAAGAAACCAGAGGCCTTTCTCCTGGGCATGGTAGGCCAATTGGTGCCAAAGAAGGACAGAATTGTTTTCATGTACGCCACAACAGCAGCAAGAATACTTATTGCAAAGCACTGGAAGACACAAGATCTACCTACCAAAGAAGAATGGCAGATGAAGCTGATGGATTACATGGAACTGGCGGAAATGACTGGCAGAATCCGAGACCAGGGAGAAGAGTCAGTGGAAGAAGACTGGAAAAAAATTAAAGTATATTTACAGAAATATTGTAAAATTAATGAATGTTAGAAGGATGCTGGAAAGAAGTTATATGACCCTAGTAGAAATGTTATAAAGAATTAAGTATGAATAGACTGATAATGGGTAAAGGTTAAACTTAAGGTTAAATTGCGTTAAGATAAATTATGGAACTAAATTTGAGAAAGAGGGAAAGGACTTGCTGGAACAATTAATTGAACTAGAATACAAAAAAGGAGGTGTGAGGAAATCGAGGAAATAAGCAAATGAAAGATAAGGATATGAAAATACGGGGTCTTTTTTTGTTCTTTTTTCTTGTTTTTCCTTTTATCTTTTAAAGGTTTGTGTTTTTTAAATGTTTCTGTTTTTCTTTTTTCTTTAATGTGTCGATGTACTGTTGATGCTTTGTATTACTGTATTTCCTTTTGTTTTTGAGGTTTTGTAATTGTTTATTGCTTGTATTTATTTATTTTTCTTTTTTCATTTTTTTGTAATACTTAAACTCTAATAAATATCTTTAAAAAAAAGAAAAAGAAAGAAAAGACTCATAAATAAATGCCCCCCTCGGCTGTACAGCCTGCCAGTTCTGGGCAGAGAACTCGCAGTTGTGCCAAGGATGGGAATGAGCCTGATCTTTGCAGCCCCAGCCCTCAGCCGGAGAGGAGCCTTCAAGCAAAACACAAAGTGAGAAAACTTTCCCCTCTTTCCTCACAGCCTCAATCCATCTTGGCCAAGAAAGAGACAATAAAATACATAGACATACATAGAGCTGGGAACCTCTTGTTGCAGGGGGGGGGTCCCCCTCACACACACACACACACACAAACACACACACAGCTGGCCCTCCAGCCCCAGTTCCCCTGGCTGAGCTGGAGACAAAAGCGTCAATGCAAAGCAGACATAAAGAAAGCTCTTTCCCCAAAAAGTGCAATTTTAACTGCTAGCAAAACACACAGAGCAGCCCACCCCCTTTTGCCTGAGACACACACAGAGCCACAGCCCACGGCTCCCTCCATTTCAAGGAATGGGGGTCCCGCACAGCCCTCAGGACGCCTCAGCATCCCGGAGATTGCCTTGTTCCGGTGGGGGGGGGGAGATATTTTGCTTGCTGAGGGCAGGAGTCACAATCCTGGCACATTGCGGGGTGTCAGGCTTTTAGGCAAGGGGGTGAGGCTTGGGTGGGCCAGTCCTGTTCACAGTGAATTCTCAGTCCTTTGGGGTTCATCGCTCCACCACAACCCCAGTTTCCCACACCTTTTAACCACCCTCCTCCCCGAAGCACCATAATAGTATTCACACAGCCCCCTAGCTGCAAGGCTTTCCTGCGCTTCACCTTGGAAAGTATCAGGATTCAATCCACCATCCCGATGGATTTCTGTCTTGACTGCCCCCCCCCCCTGGATTTAACAGCAGCAATACCTAAAACACGGAGGGATCTAAGCTCGTGGCGTGGGGTGGGGGAGGGAAGGATTTTGCAATATAAACATTGTGGGGGGGGGACACCCCACTTTGCACTAGGATTGCCGGGATCAGCCCCTCCCCCAATCTCCTGATTCACAGAAGGAAGAGGGGAGGGGGGAAGGCTTCCTCTCCTCCCCGCCCCCCAAATTCCACCCTCCCGGCACATCCTTCCCACACCCCGCCACCGCAAACCCCAAATCCCCTCCCCAATATGATGCTCCTCCTCCTCGCCATCCGGCTCCTGCTCCGGGAATGTGTTGGGGGGGGAGAGCCCCCCTCCCAAACTGCCTGCTTCTCCCGGAAGTGGAGCTTTTGCGCCGGACTGCTGCTCTGCGCCGTAGCTCTAGGGGCGCGCGCTTTCGGAAAGGGGAGGAGGGGCGGCAGGTAAATCCCCCCCACCCACGTGGATGTTGCAGGAAGGAGAACCGCGAGCGAGGACAAAGAGGTAAAGGGGTCGCGGGGGAAGGATCCAGAGACCCTCTTGAGCTCCCCAAAGCGCCTTTCGTGCAACTGGATCCCTGCACGCGTGCTGCGAAGGGGGTTTTCCTTGGACCCTTAGGAAGCCCACCCAGGGGATCTCAACGAAGTCCCCTCGCCCCATCTTCCCGCGCAGGCATCCCTGGGACTCTGTGGGTTCCTTGCAGAGAGAGGTGGGCATTAAAGGGTTAAGGGGCGTGAGGGAGGCCTGGATAGAGACCCCCCTGTCCCTCCCCTGCTCGTCTTGGGGGGGGCCCTCCGGACGGAGAGATGGGGGCGCAGGGCATGGGGTGAGCCACGCCAATGGGGCCCTCTGGGTGCAGGGGAGACTCTGGGACAGGGAGGGAGTCGAGGAAGTGGGGAGGGGGAGCATCCCTGGGGCAGGGAAGGGCAGCAATTGGGGGGGGGGGAGCTAGGAAGACCAGTCTTTGGGGACACGTCTCCATCGTGGCGCCCGCTGGGATTCTCTGGAGGGACCACCTTGGCTTCTCTCTCCCACCCAGGAATCGGCCACCCCTTCAAGGCGACCAGGAGGGATCCCTGGAAAGTGGGGGGTCCAGTCCCCCCACCCCTTTCTTCCTGCAACTTCTATCCTCTTCCCACCCCATAAGCCCCTGCCCTGCCCATACTGTTGCAGGAATTTATGTATAGGTTGGGTGGGTTGCCCCTCCAGCAGATGTCATGCACATGCAGCCCACTACCAAAATCAGCACCATCACTTTTGTGACTTGTCCCCACAAAGCACTTCCATCACAGTTTATTCCTATTTATTCAAAGGGCCTCTCCTGCACGATACCAAATATAAGAATTCACTGATAAATGTCTCTATGTACTGGCTCACTGGGGTAACTTCAGAAATTCATATAGACATGTGAGCTCAGCTACTCAGCAGCCCCTCTGCCTGAGTGATAATCCCTGGCATCCTGATACCTGAGTGCCAGACAGGTAGCCATTCCAGAAAGAACCAACCCAGATGAAGACAAAAGGGTGGGATTAACTTGGCTGAGAAACAGGTCAGGGAGGACAATGGGTGGCCAGCCGGGGGTGGGGCAAAGGCCAAAGAAAAGAGGCCGACCCCTTTGTCCAAGCCTCTTTTGGTTTTCTTCCTTCCAGGATCAGGATCCTCAGGAGCATGTCCTGGCGGCTGGATTAAGGTAAGTTCTGGCCTGATTGGAAGGGGCAGGGCCCCTCCGCCAGGCTAGGCTGCAATTTTGACCCTTTTCTTTCTGGGCGGGCACCCAGCTAGGCCGCGGGGGGGGGGGGGGGTCTTTTTGTTTTGTAGCGGGGGCATGGCTCCCCTGATGACGCCATCCACTGCCCTCCAGCCGGCCATTTCCTTTTTTGTTGGTGGGGGGGGGCATAAGTCAGGCCACATGGCGGTCATGGTTTTTTGCACCCCTCCCCCTTGTTCTGCTCTGGCTACTGACGCACTTCTGCTCCTAGCAGGGAAATGTAAATATCTCTTTTGTTACACTTGATGGGTATTTGGTGGAGGGCAAGGGGAACCATGGGGCAGGGTCCAGGATGCTCAGATTACTGCCACCAGACCTCCCCTTTCTTTCTTTTTTAAATAATTTTTATTCATTTTCCAAACAAGTTTTATACAATCAACAAATTGTTTTACACTCATGCTTCAATTTTTGACTTCCCTCAGTTTCTCTGTCAATGTTTCGAAAAATTTCTATTTATTGACGCATTTCTAAACATAATATTGCCTTTCCCCACTCCTTTTCCTCTTACTCTCTTTTTTGCAGTATTTCTTACTATTTCACAGAGTCTCTTCAAAACCAACAAGCGTTGTCTGTACATCACATATATTTTTCAGATATTCTGTAAATTTCCCCCAGTCCTCGATAAACTTTTGGTCTTTCTGGTATCAAATCTTACCAGTCAATTTGTCCAATTCTGCATATTCAGTCAATTTCCTTCTCCATTCTTCCACTGTTGGAATTTCTTCCTGTTTCCATCTTTGGGCCAGAAGTATCCTTGCGGCAGTCACTGCATATTGAAACAGTTTACAGTCTCTCTTATTGATTTCGTTTCCTACCATTCCTAATAGAAAGGCTTCTGGTTTTTTAACGAACGTATATTTCAACATCTTTTTCAATTCATTGTATATCATTTCCCAGAAGTCTTTCACCTTTTTACACTCCCACCACATATGATAGAAAGTACCTTCTTTTTCTTTACATTTCCAACACTTATTGCATGTTTTGTACATTTTGGCCAGTTTAACTGGCATTATATACCATCTGTAAAACATTTTCATTACATTTTCTTTCAACGCAGTACATGCCGTAAATTTTAGCCTTTCATTCCATAATTTCATCCAATCATCATACTGTATATTGTAACCAAAGTCTCTTGCCCAGTGTATCATTACTACTTTTACCTCTTCATCTTTTGTATGCCACTCCAGCAACACTTTATACATTTTAGACAGGTTTTTATACTCATTATTCAATACCTCCACTTGGAATTTTGATTCTTTACCTTCATACCCACACATTTTACAATCTTTTTTAAACATTTCATTAATTTGAAAGTAGTGTAACCAGTCATAAACAAATTCTTTCACCTCTTCATAAGTTTTCATTTTCCATTCCCCCCCCCTTGTTACCAATTCTCCATATGTTATCCACCTCCCCCTCATATTAATTTTTTTCACACTCATTACTTCTAATGGTGAAATCCAATGGGGGAGTTTAGGTTCCAACAAGTTTTTATACCTCTCCCACACCTCTATCAGTGATCTTCGGAAGATGTGGTTTTCAAAACCTTTGTGAATTTTTTCTTCTCATACCATAGGTAAGCATGCCAACCAAATCTGTTGTCAAATCCTTCTAAATCTAACAGCTCTCCATTCTCTAATTTAATCCATTCCTTTATCCAACAGAGGCATGATGCTTCATAATATAATTTCAAATCTGGCAGGGCGAAGCCACCTCTCTCTTTGCATCTGTTAATAACTTAAACTGACTCCTTGGCTTCTTACCCTGCCAGATATATCTTGTAATTATTTTTTTGCAATTCTTTAAAAATTGATGCCCCCTTAATTATCGGCAATGATTGGAAAAGGAATAACATCTTTGGTAGCACACTCATTTTTATCGTGGATATTCTCCCCCAAAAGGACAATTTCAGTCTTCCCCACACCTCCAAATCCCTTTTTATCTGATTCCACATAGGTAAGTAATTGTTTTGAAACAAGTCAATGTTCTTGGGGGTTAACCATATTCCTAAATACTTCACTTTGTTCACCACTTCTATCTCTGTCCTTTGTTGTATTTCCTCAATTAGTTCTTGATTCATGTTTTTAGCCATGATTTTCGTCTTTTTTTTGTTGAGATAAAATCCTGCAACTCGACCAAATTGTTCTATTTCTTCTAAGATTCTTTCAATACTTTCCACTGTTTCTTCTACTGTCAATACCAAGTCATCCGCGAATGCTTTAACTTTGTATTCATTTTTCCCTATAGACACCCCTTTTATATCTTCATTTTTTCTTACTGATTTTAGCAAAACTTCTAGCACCATAATGAATAATAGTGGCGACAGTGGGCATCCCTGCCTTGTACCTTTGGTTATTTTAATATCTTCTGTGGTATAGTTGTTTACTATTAGCTTCACTTTCTGTTCTGTATATTTTGCCTTTATCCCATTATAAAATTCCTTACCCAGTTCCATATACTCTTAGTTTTTTAACATAAAGTTCCATGATATATTATCGAAGGCCTTTTCAGCATCCACAAAGATTAAAATAGCTTGTTTTTCATTCCTGGCATTCAGATATTCCAATATATTTATTATGTTTCTTATATTATCTTTCATCTGTCTGCCAGGAAGAAAGCCAGCTTGATCCTTATGTATAAATTCTTGCAATACTTTTTTCATTCTCTTTGCTAATATACTCGCAAAGATTTTATAGTCAGTGTTCAACAGCGAAATAGGCCTATAATTTTTAACCTGTGTCAAATCCGAATCTTGTTTTGGGATAAGTGTGATAAAGGCTTCTTTCCATGTTTCCGGAATTTCACAGTTCTTTAATATGTTGTTTATGACTTCTTTCAATGGTATAAGTAGGGTGCTTCTCATTTCCTTATAATATCTGGCTGTAAATCCATCTGGTCCTGGAGCTTTCCCTTTTTTCAATTCCTTTATTACCTCTTTTATTTCTTCTGTTTCAATTGGGGCGTTCAAAAAATCTTTTTTCTCTGTTGGGATCTTCTGCACTTCTTTTTCCTTTAAAACCAGACCTCCCCTTTCATGATGTAACAATGATGTATTAGTGATGTATTTTGGGGGCAGTAACATGGGGATTAGCAGCTAATAAAAGTTTGGGTTCTCTTTTGTTTGGGGCTTCCATCTTGTTCCACCTTATGGTAGGTGGGAGTCCTGTCATGACAGTCTTCAATAAATACCAAGCCTACTGGCTGCTGTTTTGCTCTGGTATTCCTGGCTGGTGTCCTTGTTTTTTGTCCAGGGGGGCCCTCAGATTTCTCCGTTAACAAGACACACCTTCCTTCCTGCAAGCTCCACCCGATTCCCACCCCATAAGCCCCTGCCATGTCCAGATAATAATAATAATAATAATAATAATAATAATAATATTTATATCTCGCCCTCCGGGCTCAGAGCCACTAACAACAATAAAAATAACAGTTTACATAAAATCACAATCAATTAATTAAAATGCATTCTAAAATCAATTCATTCTAATATCAATTCAAAATCAAATTAATGGCAGATACAGTGGTTCTGCCAAGTCCAACCATTGGTCCCCCTGGAGAGGAGAGGAAATTCCAAGAGGAAGAGAAGAGGGGAGAGGCCTTCTCAGAAGCGGCTCTTTGTTTCCGCAGTCCTACCCAGGAATCAGCCAGAAACCTTTTCCTCTCTCTCAGGCTTCCATCTTTAAGTGTCTTTTCCACTGCATGGTTCATTGAGGATGAGGATAATGTACACCTGTCATCAGAAACAGGAGTGCAGAGTCCATGGAATGGCTCTCATGATTGATATAGAAGTTGCACCTGAAAACCATTTCTGTTCCTCTTATTCTTTGAAGGCAGTGTCAGACTGACTGACAAGCTGAGATACAACCCATCATCATCCGATGATAGCCATTGCATGAATCTTCCCAGTCAAAGGACCCATTTTCATGATAGACAGTCCCTGTGTGGCTGGAGGCTCAACACACAGGGTGTGCCTATACAGGCGAAAGACTGCCAGTATTAGCACAGGCGAGGTGTGTGTTCCCCCCACCAAATTGACTGCCTGTGTGTGAATGAGAATTTGTGGGTGGGACTATCGTTTACGGCAACATTGCAACCACAAGGGAGCACCCAGGTGTCAGAACACTCATCCCCCAACACCATGTTCTGGACATGGCCCAGGAGGAAGGAGGGGAACCACTGCATAGCAGGCCCCCCAGCTCCCCTAGAGGGTCCAGAAGGATACCAAGGTCAAAGGTCTCCAAAGCCGCTGAGAGATCCAGCAGAACCAGGAAACAGCTTTCCCCTCGGACTCTAGCGCATCGGAGATCATAATCCAGCGCAACCAGCGCAGTTTCAGTCCCATGGTGAGGCCTGAATCCCAATTGGAAGGATAATGTTGGCAGAAGCTTTCGTGGTCCGGCACCCACAAAAGCTCCAGGCACAATATTTTATTAGCTTTGAAGGGGCCATCGGATACTTGGTAGTCTTTTGTGCAAAAGACAAATACTCTGATTAGTTTTTAATTGATGTATGATATAAACAGCACTTCTTTTTTACATATTCCACATTGGAGAGATTTTGATACACAGGTCTGAGTTCATCGCCCCCCTGAAACTGCTGTGTTAGCAGCACTGCCTGGGCAGTGTGTTTGGGGGTCCTGGGCTGCCTAGACAACAAGACCCCCTTCTCAGCCTGGCTTATATAGTCCCAAGGAAAGCCGAGGAGTATGTTAGGCACCAGCTTGGCTGCAGCAGTTGCTGGAAGGAGGTGTGCAGGGCACCATCCAACCACCTTAGACAGTCCACTCTGGATTTGTGTAGGTTTTCCTCCATAGCATTTTCTTCTCCTGAAGATAACTCAAGAGGAAGTGAGGGAGTGCACCAAAGTATTACGACCAGAGATTTCCTTCCCGTTGGGCTTCCTTCCCCGGTTGACGAGCCCCATCTGCCCTGACTTTCCTCTGCAGAATGGGCAGAATCTGCCTTCTTGACTGTGGGATTCACTGTTGTTCTCATCCTTTCCATCCACCAGAGCCTGCAATCACCCGCAGCAGAATTCCCCAACCCACCAAGAATTTGAGACCCATCAGGTATCCTCACCTGGTTTAGCAGGCCGGTTGAAGCCGTTCCTGGGATTGTGGCCCCTATTGCATGCTGACAGCTTCCGGAAGCCAAAGGTGATAGCTGAGTGCAGGGTGGAGACCAGTGGTGGATAAATTACCCCATAAGGTGCATGACATTTCCCCCACCAAAGGTGCTAACACTCCCCTAACACCCCATGACATCATATGATTATGATCTTTAAGACAGAAGAGGAATAAATTCATGTCCCCAGAAATAACACAACTTCAGGCCATTAGTGAATCAATACTACATTTTCAAGGTACTACACATTCCACTAAGTACAGTTTATCTATTTGCCTTGAATATCCTGCTTTTCAGTGTCATTTTAGGATAGTCCTGCGTCAGAAGACGGGCACGAGATCAGACAGCACATCATTCTTTAAAAAATCATGCTGCTTTATGGAACATTGATTGAGGATTTGGAAAGGTGCTCTTGAATTACTATCATTTGACATGGCAACTTCATTTCCTAAAAATTGGGAACATGGGTAGGAGGTGAGGGAGTGTAGGAGACGTTGAAATAGGAGAATGTGCTAATGGAGGTTGATGTGTTGTCTTTCCCTTAATTCTCTTCATTGAAACCCAACAGGATTTACTTTCCTCCCACTCTGAAGAAGGGGATGGAGAAGACAGTCAAAACTCCAGGGAATGGTGCAACTTTCGTTTCATTAGGAATAGAAATTAAAATGTGGAATATTCTTCATTGAATGAGCACACATAGTTCACATCAAAGACCTCCAACAGGGGAGATACCATTTAAAGCTATGGAGTGCGGAAAGAGCGTTAGCAATAATGGAAAACTTAGAATACATCAACAGAATAGCACAGGGGAGAAACCATATAAATGTATGGAGTGTGGAAAGAGCTTCAGTCAGAGTGGACACCTCAATATACATCAACGGATTCACACAGAGGAGAAACCATATAAATGTATGAAGTGTGGAAAAAGCTTTAGTGATAATGGAAAACTTAGAAAACATCAACGGACTCACACAGAGGAGAAACCATATAAATGTATGGAGTGTGGAAAGAGCTTCTGTTTCAATGCAAACCTTAGAACACATCAACGGATTCACACAGGGGAGAAACCATATAAATGTATGGAGTGCGGAAAGAGCTTTAGTGATAATGGACAACTTAGAAAACATCAACGGACTCACACAGGGGAGAAACCATATAAATGTATGGAATGTGGAAAAAGTTTCAGTCGGAGTGGACACCTCAATATACATCAACAGACACACACAGGAGAGAAACCATTTAAATGTATGCAATGTGGAAAGAGCTTTAGTGATAACGGAAACCTTAGAACACATCAATGGACTCACACAGGGGAGAAACCATTTAAATGTATGGAGTGTGGAAAGAGCTTTAGTGATAATGGACAACTTAGAAAACATCAACGGACTCACACAGGGGAGAAACCATTTAAATGCCTGGAGTGCGGAAAGAGCTTCAGTTTCAATGCAACACTTAGAACACATCAACGGACTCACACAGGGGAGAAACCATTTAAATGTATGGAGTGTGGAAAGAGCTTTAGTGATAATGGAAATCTTAGAAAACATCAACAGACTCATACAGGGGAGAAACCATATAAATGTATGGAGTGTGGAAAGTGCTTCACTGTGAATGGAAGCCTTAGAACACATCAACGGACTCACACAGGGGAGAAACCATATAAATGTATAGAGTGTGGAAGGAGCTTTAATGATAATGGAAAACTTAGAAAACATCAACGGACTCACACAGGGGAGAAACCATATAAATGTATGGAGTGTGGCAAGAGCTTCAGTCAGAGTGGACACCTCAATATACATAAACAGACACACACAGGAGAGAAACCATTTAAATGTATGCAGTGTGGAAAGAGCTTTAGTGATAATGGAAAGCTTAGAACACATCAACGGACTCATACAGTGGAGAAACCATATAAATGTATGGAATGTGGAAAAAGTTTCAGTCGGAGTGGACACCTCAATATACATCAACAGACACACACAGGGGAGAAACCATTTAAATGTATGGAGTGCGGAAAGAGCTTTAGTTTCAATGCAACCCTTAGAATACATCAACGGACTCACACAGGGGAGAAACCATTTAAATGTATGGAGTGTGGAAAGTGCTTCAGTGAGAATGGAAGCCTTAGAACACATCAACGGACTCACACAGGGGAGAAACCATTTAAATGTATGGTGTGTGGAAAGTGCTTCAGTGAGAATGGAAGCCTTAGAACACATCAACGGACTCACACAGGGGAGAAACCATTTAAATGTATGGTGTGTGGAAAGTGCTTCAGTGAGAATGGAAGCCTTAGAACACATCAACGGACTCACACAGGGGAGAAACCATATAAATGTATAGAGTGTGGAAGGAGCTTTAATGATAATGGAAAACTTAGAAAACATCAACGGACTCACACAGGGGAGAAACCATATAAATGTATGGAGTGTGGCAAGAGCTTCAGTCAGAGTGGACACCTCAATATACATAAACAGACTCACACAGGGGAGAAACCATTTACATGTATGGAGTGCGGAAAGAGCTTTAGTGATAATGGAAAACTTAGAAGACATCAACAGACTCACACAGGGGAGAAACCATTTACATGCATGGAGTGCGGAAAAAGTTTCAGTCGGAGTGGACACCTCAATATACATCAACAGACACACACAGGGGAGAAACCATTTAAATGTATGGAGTGCGGAAAGAGCTTTAGTTTCAATGCAACCCTTAGAATACATCAACGGACTCACACAGGGGAGAAACCATTTAAATGTATGGAGTGTGGAAAGTGCTTCAGTGAGAATGGAAGCCTTAGAACACATCAACGGACTCACACAGGGGAGAAACCATTTAAATGTATGGTGTGTGGAAAGTGCTTCACTGTGAATGGAAGCCTTAGAACACATCAACGGACTCACACAGGGGAGAAACCATATAAATGTATGGAGTGTGGAAAGTGCTTCACTGTGAATGGAAGCCTTAGAACACATCAACGGACTCACACAGGGGAGAAACCATATAAATGTATAGAGTGTGGAAGGAGCTTTAATGATAATGGAAGCCTTAGAACACATCAACGGACTCACACAGGGGAGAAACCATATAAATGTATGGAGTGTGGCAAGAGCTTCAGTCAGAGCGGACACCTCAATATACATAAACAGACTCACACAGGGGAGAAACCATTTACATGTATGGAGTGCGGAAAGAGCTTTAGTGATAATGGAAAACTTAGAAGACATCAACAGACTCACACAGGGGAGAAACCATTTACATGCATGGAGTGCGGAAAGAGCTTCAGGCAGAATGGATACCTTAGAAAACATCAGCAGACACACAGGGGAGAAACTGTTTAAATGTATGGACTGTGGAAGGAGCTCCAATCAGAGTGGAACCCTTGATTTATGTCAACAAACTCAAACAAAAGCCAAACCTTATAAATATCAGGAAAGTAGATAGAGGTTCAGTCCTAGTGGAAGTTCTAAATCAACAGACTCACGGACAGGAAGAACTTTAGTACTTGAAACCCTTCAAACCATCAACAAACTCAAAGAGGAGAAGCAGTTTAAATGAAAAGATTGCAAAAAGTGCTTTATTTACAATGGAGTGTTTAAGGAACATCCAGAGACTCTTACATGTAAGAACCCATTTAAATGTATGGAGTGTGGGACGTCTTCCTCTCAGAGCCCACTCTTTTCTTCACAGAAATGAACTCAGCAGGAAATTGGTCTTTAAAACATGTTGTGTATGTGAAGTTCTGGTATTTATGTGTAAAACTGTATAGTAATGAAATATTGAAGGCAATGTCAAACAATGTGATTATAATCTACGATGTAAAGTACCTTTCGATAGAGAAGCGGTGAGGGTTTATCTGGATTGCTGGGGGTCAGTGAGGGCTGGGCGATATATTGTCCCAAACTGGTTTCTAGACCACATCGTGATAACCTTCCAAAAACAATTGATATGGCAAGACTTCACAGATTACAGTGTGTGTTTCTGGAATGCTGATTTGTCTAGAAGCAGCCAGCAGAAAGCTTTTCTTCATGAAGTCCCTGCAGATGCCGAGTTCCTGACTTCCCTCCCAGACGACAGGAAGCGAAAGACACACATCCATTGCCCTGTGTCCTTCCAGCCTCTTTCCTCCCTTGCTCCCTTCTGCCGGTGTGTCTGCCTGATGTAGATATCCTGTGTGCTGTATTTTTTTTACTGCTGAAACTGGATTTGCTCTCAGGAGCTAAGTTTTGTGCCTCACTGGGAACCCAGTGAGAACTGCATGCTTTGAAAGCTCAGTAAACTATTACTAAAGAAGTCCTGCTGCCTCTGTTTGTGTTTTTGACCTCAGTGTGGGACTTGCTCTGCATGTGGCCCCTACCCTGCCGATACTTGGCTTATGCCCTGGAGTTGCTCTACTCAAGCATGCAAGACGGGTGCATCTGTGTATGACTGGTTTTTGCACCAAACTCTCTCACCCCCACCACCGCATGATCTCCAAACACTGCTTCTTCACTAGAACTTCTCCCTGCCTCCTACATGTTCTGAAGAAAATTTAAAATACTGTAATTTAATGGGAGATTTCCCCCAAGCCTTAGTGCAAGAGGGGGAAGGAGGCTGCAGGTACCAGGGAAGTCTCCTGGGGGGCCCATCTTCCCTCACGAACCCCATGGGGCAATCCCAGAGCTCCTGCTTATTCTGGGGTTTGGGGAAAATAGTCCTTTTCCATAGTCCCAGAAGTTATTATTCTTCCTGCCAGAGGACGTGTGCATATTATTATTGTACTGATTTTACTGTTGTTGCTGCTTTTGCTGTCATGGACTGGCTGGGTGAAAGGGGGGGAGGCACCAGCTGGGGAACCCCCAAGGGAAGAAGGCTCGGAGTCCGGGTCTTTTATGCCCCCAAAGGCTATCAAAACTCCTAGGTCTGGCCAATTAAAGGCTGATATGGGAGCCATTGGGGGCCAGGTCGGTTCTTTCATTTTCGCCTCTCCTCTGGAAAAGTGCTCTTTCTTTTGGGGTTTGATTACTTCTGCCTCCTTCAGTGCCCACTGCATCCTCAGCGAGGTACAATACTTTCCTTTGAACTTATGTAGGGTTCTCTCTGAGGACTGCTACCCAGGAGTCTGCGTATGCAAACTGCTCCAAACATCCAGGGTGTTTTGTCACACTTCAAAAGCCTTCAAGCAAAACACAAAGTGAGAAAACTCCACCCCCCTTCCTCACAACCCTCTTGGCTGAGCTTGAGACAGTACATAGACATTCACAGAGCTGGGAGCCTGCTGTTGCCTGGTTGAGGCACCCACAGCTGGCAGTCCACTGCTGCCAGGGGGGGGGGGTCCACAAACGCAGAGGGAGAGAGAGAGAGCGCTGGCCCTCCAGCCCAGCTCCCCTGACTGAGCTGGAGACACAAGCGTCAATGCAAAACACACAAAAAGAAAGCTCTCCCCCCCCAAAAATGTGCAATTTAACTGCGAGCAAAACACACAGAGGAGCCCCCCCTTGCCTGAGACACACAGAGAGCTGGGGGGCCACTGCTCCCTCAGTTGAGGCACCCACAGCTGGGTGGGTTCAAAGAAAGCCTCAATTTATCCGAGTCACAGCACCAAATGTTGTATACAGTGGTACCTCGGGTTACATACGCTTCAGGTTACAGACGCTTCACGTTACAGACTCCGCTAACCCAGAAATAGTACCTCAGGTTAAGAACTTTGCTTCAGGATGAGATCAGAAATCGTGGTCTGGAGGCGTGGCGGCAGCAGGAGGGTCCATTAGCTAAAGTGGTGCTTCGGGTTAAGAACAGTTTCAGGTTAAGAACGGACCTCCGGAACGAATTAAGTTCTTAATCCGAGGTACCACTGTACCTCCAAAGGCTATAAAAACTCCTATTAAAGGTAAAGGCACCCCTGACCTTTAGGTCCAGTCGCGGGCGACTCTGGGGTTGCAGCGCTCATCTCACTTTATTGGCTGAGGGAGCCGGCGTACAACTTCCGGGTCATGTGGCCAGCATGACTAAGCCACTTCTGGCGAACCAGAGCAGCGCACAGAAACGCCGTTTACCTTCCCGCCAGAGCGGTACCTATTTATCTACTTGCACTTTGAAGTGCTTTCAAACTGCTAGGTTGGCAGGAGCAGGAACCGAGCAACGGGAGCTCACCCCGTGGTGGGGCTTCGAACCGCCAACCTTCTGATCGGCAAGTCCTAGGCTCAGTGGTTTAACCCACAGCGCCACCCGCGTCCCTTAGGACTCCTAAGGGACTCCTAGGTATGGCCAATAATACTCAGGAGCCAGGAGGAGATAAGGCAGTGGAAGACAGAAGTGCCTGGCATGCTCTGGTCCAGGGGGTCATGACTAAACGACTAAACAACAACCATACATCTGAATGGGGTTTCTCTCCATGCATTTCCCCACTCCTGGACCCAAGACCCCTCCCCAAGGGGCCAGCAGCGCATCCATGCAAAGGAAGAGCAGAGCTGCCGCCCTCCTGCGACCCTCCGCGCCCTGACTTGCCCCCCTCTCGCCATGCGGTGCTGGGACCCCCGCTATCCCCATGGGCCCTATGTTGGGAGAGAGGAGACTCACCAGATCCCAGCAGGTGCCCCCAGGCAGCCTCTGCAGACCCGAACCAACGGGACCCCCACACGCCCGACTTCTTGCAGGAAAGGGAGGGATTGGGCTTTCGCTCTGGAGCACCCTGCCTTCCCAGTCTTTCTTTCCTGTCTAGGAATCTAGCTCGTTTCCGTTTAACCCTTGGCAAGCCGAGCGCACCCAACTCATGCCTCTCCCTCTCTTGAGCATCGCGCACCAATGGCTTCCCGAGAAGACGGAGGAGGAGAGGTTTATGGATTACTTCCGGCAAGGGATACTTTCAGTTTGGGCCCCCTGGTCTGAAATATACTCAGAGTCGCAAAGTGATTTCATGCTCTTTATTCAGCTCATAGTGGTGAGGAGGAATGAATGAATGTCCCCTCAAAGTATCTGCTTTATATACATTATTTACACAATGGGCTACACATGATTGGCTAATTCCGGAATTCTACTGTAAGCCAATCAGGTTGTGGATTCGCTTCTATCTGGAGAATGATTGGGTGGTTCCTGCCAACCAATCATACTGCTGCATTGTTCTAGGACCAATCAGACTGCTGCATTCTGAATCCTATTGTTCTAGGACCAATCAGACTGCTGCGTTTTGGATCCTATTGTTCTAGGACCAATCAGAGTGCTGCAGTTTGGATCTTATTCAACTCAGTACATAACACCCCTCCCCTCTAAGTTCCAGTCCTGCCCGGGAGTTCACATTCATAGTCCTCAAGGTACGCCGGCGGCCTACGTGTGTGTTGCGGCCTGGGGTGTTCCCTGGTCCGGGGTTCAGGTTCTGGCTCGTGTTCCAAGGATGCTGGCTGTGATGGGGCTGTTTGGTCTGGCGCAACCGGCTCGCTCAGTCGTGGTTCTGGTTCCGTTGTCCTTTTGGCCTCGCGTGTCCTCTCTGTATTTACTGATTCTGCCTCTCCTGCTGGCCCCTCCTGCTCTATGGGCCTCACTGCACCACTGTTCCCTTGGGACTCCTCTGACCTGTCCTCCTCCTGGTTTTCTCCCGGGAATCGTCGCCGTATCTGGTCGCAGTGGGGGCGCCAGCATTGCCCCCCCATCCGTTAGCACCTCGTACGACACAGGGCCAGTGACCCTGGTGACTGTGGCGGGTACCCATGCTGGGCCTGCCCCAAAATTCTTTGCGTACACTGGGTCCTGGGCCTCGAAGGTCCTGGGGTTCCTGCCTTCCCCCACCACTACCTCATCCTGAGCTCTATCGGGGTGAAGGCGGTCCAATCTGATTGCAAGGCGCCGACCCATTAGTAGTTCAGCGGGGCTCTGGCCAGTCGTTGAGCTGGGGGTGCTGTGCTGTGCTAGGAGGAATGTGGCAAGGCGGTACTCCCAATCCCCTTGTGTCATGCAGCAAAGGGTGTCCTTGGTGGTCCGCACCATGCGTTCTGCTTGGTCATTTGTGGCAGGGTGGAATGGCACCGAAAGGACGTGGCGGATGGCGTTCTGCGCTGTGAAGGTTTGGAATTCTCCTAACGTAAATGCAGTCCCGTTGTCTGAGACAAGAGTGTCAGGGAGCCCGTGGGTTGCAAACAGCCTGCGTAGTACCCGGATGGTTGCGGACGTAGAAGTGGACGGTACCAGTGCGACTTCCAGCCATTTGGTGTAGGAGTCCACCACTATGAAGAATGTTTTCCCCTGAAAGGGGCCAGCGAAGTCCACATGCAGGCGTGACCATGGTGCTCGGGGGGACTCCCAGGACTGGACTGGGGCCCTTGGGGGATCTGGGCGGGATTCTTGGCAGGCCTGGCAGTGTTTGACCCAGGCCTCTATCTCTCCATCGATCCCCGGCCACCACACATAACTCCTGGCCAGGGCCTTCATTCTTACTACCCCTGGGTGTGTCTCATGTAGGGCTGTGAGGACCCGTTTGCGGAGGGGCTGGGGAACAACGACCCTGCTTCCCCATAACAGGCACCCCTTGTGGGCCGACAGTTCATGTTTGCGGGTTGTGTAGCCGGCGAATTCTGGCCCGGGGCTGCTGCTGGGCCATCCCCTCCACACCCAGTCCAGGACCCGGGAGATGACCCTATCTTTCTTGGAATGGTGTGCAACTTCTTGTGCCTGAATGGGGCGGTCGGGAAGCAGCTCCAGGCTCATAACCTCTTGCGCAGGTGCTGGGTCGGGGCCTGTTTCCGGTAGTGGTAGCCTGCTGAAGGCGTCCGCATGGCCCATCGCTTTCCCAGGGCAGTGAATCAGTGCATACTGGTAGCTGGCAAGGAAAATTGACCACCTGAGGACGCGAGGAGACAGCACTTGGGGGGTCTGCTTTTCGGGGGCAAACAAGCCAAGCAACGGCTTGTGGTCAGTCACCACGGTGAAGGGCCGCCCATACAAGAAATCATGGAATTTTTTTACTCCCTTCACGATTGCCAGACCCTCCTTGTTGATTTGCGAGTAGTTCCGCTCAGTTGCGTTGAGTGTCTGGGGAAAGTATGCCACCAATACCTCTCTTCCATCCAGGAGTTGGTGTCCCAGGACAGCGCCGATGCCATAGGGCGAGGCGTCGCATGCTAGCACCACCGGCAGCTTCTCGTCAAAGTGTGCCAAGACCGAGTTTGAGACAAGCAAGTCCTTGACTGCCTGGAATGTGGCCTCCTGGCGCTGGCCCCACACCCAAGGGGCCCGCTTGTCCAGGAGTCTGTGTAGGGGCTCCGCTACCACCGCCTTGTGGGGAAGGAAGGAATGGTAAAAGTTCAATAGTCCCAAGAAGGCCTGGAGTTCAGTCTCGCTCTTGGGTGCTGGGGCATCACAAATGGCCCGTACCTTGTCCCCAGTCGGGTGGACCCCTTCTGCGTCCACCATAAATCCCAGAAAGTCCACCTGAGGCACTCCTAGTAGACATTTTTCCTGCTTCACCTTGAGACCTGCCGTCTGGAAACGGTGCAAAACGGTGCGGAGGCGGTCCTCAAACTCCTCTGGTGTGGGCCTGGCAATCAACACATCATCGAAGAAGGGGGTGACACCAGGAATCCCTTTAAGGAGCGAGTCCATTAGATTCTGGAATATGCCTGGTGCCATACTGACACCGAATTGCAGCTGCTTTACCCTGAACGCTCCTCTGTGCGTCACAATCGTCTGTGCCTCTGCTGTGGCCTCATCTACTGGCAGCTGTTGATATGCTTGGGCCAAGTCCAGCTTGCCAAAAATTTCGACCCAGCCAGGGTGGCAAGGACATGGCTGACCACTGGCACTGGGTATGCATGGGCCATGAGGGCCTTGTTTATGGTACATTTGTAGTCTGCGCAGATGCGGACCGAACCATTAGGCTTGATGGGTGTGACGATTGGGGTTTCCCAGGGGGCATTAGGCACCGGCTCCAGCACTCCTTGCTCCACGAGCCGGTCCAATTCCTCGTCTATATTGTTCTGCATTGTTCTAGGACCAATCAGACTGCTGTGTTTTGGATCCTATTGTTCTAGGACCAATCAGACTGCTGCAGTTTGGATCCTATTCAACTCAGTACATAACATGGTCCCTGCTGGAACACAGGTCCTAAGAAATCTTCACTGGCTCCCGGTCTGTTTCCGAGCACCATTCAAAGTGTTGGTGCTGACCTTGAAAGCCCTAAATGGTCTCAGCCCAGTAGAAGGGAAGGAGCGTCTCCACCCCCATAGTTCAGCCCGGACACTGAGGTCTAGCTCCAAGGGCCGCCTTGTAGCAAGGATTTTTAAGGTACCTGTGACCCACTCAAATTGTGTCCAAGAATTGACAGACGCAGCAGTGGAGAAAAAGAAAGTGATATTTATTGCTAAGCAATAATTGACCCAGTGGAATCGTTTCCAGAGACTGGGCGTCTTAGCTCTAGCGCCCTGAGGCTTTATATCTGAGTACATACATCATAGATCATGACATAATCGAATACAATCGCACATGGCAGCAAAAATAGAACCGATGAGCGCATTCAAGCCTTGCCCCCTGATCATGTAAAGAGTTCCCTCCCAACTTCTGCTTTCTTCAGTCTGAACATTAGTCCAACCTTTCCCCTAATAAAAAGGAGAAAGGAACTGTATTTGGTTGTTATGCTCTCCTACGCAACATCTGCCAAACAGGGACATTTTGCAGTTAGCATCTTCCTGTTTTTAGCTGCTCAGGACCCTGTCTGGACAGGAGGAAAATGCCAGCACAGCAGATTTATTGCTTCCCCCCTTATGTTAGCAAGACATTGAGAAGAACAAGGGGAGAGAACTGGGGCAGAGTTCATTTTGGATTTTTCAAATCTAAGCATTTTGCCCTAAGCTTTGCAGAAGCCTTCATGATTCAAACATGGATTATAAAAAAATCATTATAAGGATATATGGTTATATATGGATATATGGCTAACTGATTATATGAAAAGCATAAGGTCCAGCTCCGAGGGCCTTCTGGCAGTTCCCTCATTGCGAGAAGTGAGGTTACAGAGGGCCTTCTCGGTCGTCGTGACTGCCTTGTGGAACGCTCTCCAACCAGATGTCAATGAGATAAACCATTATACGACCTCCATAGACGCCTAAAAGCAGCTCCGTATCGGGAAGCTTTTAATGTTTTATGTTGGGTTATGTTTTCTTCTATCCTTTTGTAAGCTGCCCAGAGAGGCTGGAGCAATCCAGTTGGATGGGTGGGGTACAAAAAACATGTTGTTGTTGTTGTTGTTGTTGTTGTTGTTGTTGTTGTTGTTAGACATCCAGCTTTTGATAGGGCTGCTTCATTCTGTGCTTTTGGACTCCCATGTGGGCTTATGGTTTTGGTGCTTGTGGATCTCATGGGATTTAATGTCTTGCCATTATACATGCACGGGGATAAGTGCATTTACACAGACACATTTCCACAAAACACCCAAACTCCGGCATGTAGCCGCAGGTGATACAATAGGAGCCTTTCTTCAAATGGCCTTTGCAACACAACTCACTGGGTGGTAACAAAGTATACACATTTGCCTCTTTTCAACGGATGTTTTCGCTTAGTCCCGTTTCCTCAACGAACCCACCCATTTCTTGATGAAATGTAACTTCTGCCAGTAAAACCTGAGCTGAAATAGGAAGGAGAGCAAAACAGCAGCCCTGTCTGACCCCAGTCAGCCTCCAGACTCCCCCAATCACGTGGCAGGAGATTCTTCCTGAGGGCACCCCCCCCCCCCGCCGTGAGACGGGTATCACATCATGGATGATCCATTGATGATCCACATGATCCAAGCAGACTGGTCCAAAGAGCAGATCTCTGTGCCTGAATGAAACGGGTCTGCGATGATGGATTCTGGAGTCAAGAAATCCGCCCTTTCCAATGATCTCTCAGGCTGGCCAGGAAAAGGCAGGGAGCAGGAATCCTCAGGCATTCCGATGGACAGACTTGTCATGTTGCCAAAACATGAACTCAGAGTCTGATCTGATTTCCAGGTACAACGCATTTTGTGGCGCAAACGGAGATGTTTTTGGGGTGCTCTCTCTGTGACGGGGGGGGGGCTACTATCTTAGGCTGTATAAATTGCAACGCGCTTTAGTTCTGGGCTGCTTCACTCCTTGCATGGGGCGGGGGGGGGGGGCTCTGCGCGCAAACAGATCAACAGCTGCCTTGCTTTCCTCCTGGCCTCAATGTGTTACCTCTGACGGAGACACAAGGGAGGAATTGTGTTGGGGTGTGTGTGTGTGCAAAAGCCCAAGCCCTATTTTTTCCGTAACACAGGAGTCACAGAGTCCAACCCGCTGCTCAATGTGCACAAATACCAAAAACATGGAATGGATCTAAGATCATGGCGTGGGGGGCGGGGGGAGGGAAGGATTTTGCAATGTGAACATTGTAGGGGGGGACCCCACTTTGCAGCTGAATTGCCGGAATCAGCCCCTCCCCCGCTCTCCTCATCCCCATAAGGAAGAAGGGAGGGGGAAAACCTTCCTCTCCTTCGTCCCCCTCAATTCCTCCCTTCCCGGTACATCCTCCTCTCACCCCGCGCCCACAACCCCAAATCCCTCCACCATGCGCTGCACCTCCTCCTCCTCCTCCTCCTCCCCGCAATCCGGCTTCTGTTTCCGAAATGAGCGGAGAGAGCCACCCTCCCAAACTGCCTGCTTCGCCCGCAAGTGGAGCTTCTACTCCGAATTGCTGCTCTGTGGCGTAGCTCTAGGGGGCGCGCTTTCGGAAAGGGGAGGAGGATGGGAAGAGGAGGATCCCCGCCCCCCGTGGATGTTGCAGGAAAGAAATGAGACTCGAGAGCGAGGACAAAGAGGTAAAGGGGCGGCGGAGAGGGGGGGGAAGGACCCAGAGACCCCCGCCAGCTCCCCAAAGCGACTTCCGTGGGGCCTGGATCCCTACAGGTGTGCTGCGAAGGGGGCTTTCCTTGGCCCCTTAGGCGCCTTGGCAGCGGCGGACATGGGGCCCCATTGCCCCGTTTCCCCCGCATAGGCATCCCTGGGGACGTGTGGGCTCCGCACGGATAAAGGCGGGCCATGAAAGGGTTAACGGGCGTGAGGGACGCCTGGATAGAGATCCCCCTGTCCCTAATCTGTGCGTCTTGGGGTGGCCCCTCAGGATGGAAAGATGGGGGGTGAGGAGTGAGCCGCGCCAAGGGGGGCCTCTGGGTGCAGGGGAGACTCTGGAACAGAGGGAGGGAGTGAAGTGGGGAGGGGGAGCATCCCTGGGACAGGGAAGGGCAGCATTGGGGGGGGGGGAGATCGGAAACCAGTCTTTGGGGAGACTTCTCCATGGTGGCGCCTACGGGGATTTTCTGGAGGGGCCGTCTTGGCTTCTCCCTCCCGCCCAAGAATCGGCCACCCCTTCAAGGCGACCAGAGAGGGATCCCTGAAAAGTGGGGGGTCCAGTCCCCCCACCCCTCCTTCCTGTAACCTCCATCCTCTTCCCACCCCATAAGCCCCCATAACCCCTGCCCTGTCCAGGAAGAGGGGAGGGGAGAGGCCTTCTCAGAAGCAGCTCGTCGTTTCTGCAATCCCACCCAGGAAGCAGCCAGAAACCTTTTCCTCTCTCTCAGGCTTCCATCTTTCTAATAATAATAATAATAATAATAATAATAATAATAATAAATCCAGCTTGCAGAAGTGCAAGCTGGATTTCGAAGGGGCAGAGGAACCAGAGACCAAATTGCAAACATGCGCTGGATTATGGAGAAAGCTAGAGAGTTCCAGAAAGACATCTACTTCTGCTTCATTGACTATGCAAAAGCCTTTGACTGTGTCGACCACAGCAAACTATGGCAAGTTCTTAAAGAAATGGAAGTGCCTGATCACCTCATCTGTCTCCTGAGAAATCTCTATGTGGGACAAGAAGCTACAGTTAGAACTGCATATGGAACAACTGATTGGTTCAAAATTGGGAAAGGAGTACGGCAAGGCTGTATTTTGTCTCCCTGCTTATTTAACTTATATGCAGAATTCATCATGCGAAAGGCTGGGCTGGATGAATTCCAAGCCGGAATTAAGATCTCCGGAAGAAATATCAACAACCTCAGATATGCAGATGACACAACATTGATGGCAGAAAGTGAAGAGGAATTAAGGAACCTTTTATTGAGGGTGAGTGCAAAATATGGTCTGAAGCTCAACATCAAAAAAACGAAGATCATGGCCACTGGTCCCATCACCTCCTGGCAAATAGAAGGGGAAGAAATGGAGGCAGTGAGAGATTTTACTTTCTTGGGCTCCATGATCACTGCAGATGGTGACAGCAGTCACGAAATTAAAAGACACTTGCTCCTTGGGAGAAAGGCGATGGCAAACCTAGACAGCATTTTAAAAAGCAGAGACATCACCTTACCCACAAAGGTCCGTATAGTTAAAGCCATGGTTTTCCCAGTAGTGATGTATGGAAGTGAGAGCTGGACCATAAAGAAGGCTAATCGCTGAAGAATGGATGCTTTTGAATTATGTGCTGGAGGAGACTCTTGAGAGTCCCATGGACTGCAAGAAGATCAAACGTATCCATTCTTAAGGAAATCAGCCCTGAGTGCTCACTGGAAGGACAGATTGTGAAGCTGAGGCTCCAATACTTTGGCCACCTCATGAGAAGAGAAGACTCCCTGGAAAAGACCCTGATGTTGGGAAAGATTGAGGGCACAAGAAGAAGGGGACGACAGAGGACGAGATGGTTGGACAGTGTTCTCGAAGCTACAAACATGAGTCTGACCAAACTGTGGGAGGCAGTGGAAGACAGGAGTGCCTGGCGTGCTCTGGTCCATGGGGTCACGAAGAGTCGGACACAACTAAACGACTAAACAACAACATTATTTGTACCCTGCCCATCTGGCTGGGTTTCCCCAGCCACTCTGGGCGGCTTCCACAGAGACCAAAAATACACTAAAATGTCACACATTTTATGTCACAAAAATACACTAAAATGTCACAAAACTTCCCTGAACAGGGCTGCCTTAAGATGTCTTCTGAATGTCAGGTAGTTGTTTATCACTTTGACATCTGATGGGAGGGCATTCCACAGGGCGGGCGCCACTACCGAGAAGGCCCTCTGCCAGGTTCCCTGTAGCTTTGCTTCTCGCAATGAGGGAACCGCGCTGGACCTCAGCGTCTGGGCAGAACAATGGGGGTGGAGACGCTCCTTCAGGTATACTGGGCCGAGGCCGTTTAGGGCTTTAAAGGTCAGCACCAACACTTTGAATTGTGCTCGGAAACATACTGGGAGCCAATGTAGGTCTTTCAAGACCGGTGTCATGTGGTCTCGGCGGCCGCCCCCAGTCACCAGTCTAGCTGCCACATTCTGGATTAGTTGTAGTTTCCGGGTCACCTTCAAAGGTAGCCCCACATAGAGCGCATTGCAGTAGTTCAAGCGAGAGATAACCAGAGCATGCACCACTCTGGCGAGACAGTCCGCGGGCAGGTAGGGTCTCAGCCTGTGTACCAGGTGGAGTTGGTAGACAGCTGCCCTGGATACAGAATTGACCTGCGCCTCCATGGACAGCTGTGAGTCCAAAATGACTCCCAGGCTGAGCACCTGGTCCTTCAGGGGCACAGTTACCCCTTTCAGGACCAGGGAGTCCTCCACACCAGCCTGCCCCCTGTCCCGCAAAAACAGTACTTCTGTCTTGTCAGGATTCAACCTCAATCCATTAGCCGCCATCCATCCTCCAACCACCTCCAGGCACTCACACAGGCCCTTCACCGCCTTCACTGGTTCTGATTTGAAAGAGAGGTAGAGCTGGGTATCATCTGCATATTGATGCAGATCCAAACCCCCTGATGATCTCTCCAAGTGGCTTCATATAGATGTTAAAAAGCTTGGGGGAGAGGACGGAACCCTGAGGCACCCCACAAGTGAGGGCCCAGGGGTCTGAACACTCATCCCCCACCACCACTTTCTGAACACGGCCCAGGAGGAAGGAGCGAAACCACTGTATAACAGTGCCCCCAGCTCCCAGCTCCTCTAGATGGTCCAGAAGGATGTTATGGTCGATTGTATCAAAGGCCGCTGAGAGATCCAGCAGAACTAAGAAACAGCTCTCACCTTTGTCCCTAGCTCGCCGGAGATCATCAACCAGCACAACCAAGGCAGTTTCAGTCCCATGATGAGGCCTGAATCCCAACTGGAAGGTATCCAAATGGTCTGCATCCTCCAGGCATGCCTGGAGTTGTTCAGCAACCACTCGCTCAATCACCTTGCCCAAGAATGGAAGATTTGAGACTGGACGATAGTTGGCCAAATTGGCTGGGTCTAAAGATGTTTTTTTAAGAAGTGGTTTAATGACCGCCTCTTTCAGCGGGTCTGGGAAGACTCCCTCACAGAGGGAAGCATTCACCACCCCGCAGAGCCCATTGCCCAGCCCTTTCCGGCTAGCTTTTATAAGCCAGGATGGGCAAGGATCAAGGAGACGGGTGGTTGGTTTCACGCATCCAAGCAGCCTGTCCACATCCTCGGGGGTAACGGATTGAAATTGATTCCATGCAACTTGACCAGACAGGGCTCTAGCACTCTCCCGCCCCAGCCCTGCTCCCACGGTGGTGTCTACCTCCTTCTGAATATGAGTGATTTTATCTGCAAAAAACTTTGCAAAATCGTTGCAGGAGATCTTGGGGTCTTTACAAGGCATAGGTGGTAAAGGTGGTTTTGTTAAATTGTGGACCACCTGAAAGAGTCTCCTGCTACTATTTTCTGCAGATGCAATAGAGGCAGTGAAGAAAGTCTTCTTTTCCGTCGCTATCGCCACTTGGTAGGCTCGACGTTGAGCTCTAACCTGTGTCCAGTCAGATTCGGAATGAGTTTTCTGTCACCGACGCTCTAGCCGTCTCAGCGATTGTTTCATTGCCTCAGCTCCGAAGAAAACCATGGGGGTGTCCAGGCTCCATGCAGTCGGAGAGGGCGCTTCGGAGCCAGACAGTCGATAACCCTGGTTAACTCCGCATTCCAGCAGGCCACCAGGGAATCAGCTGAAAGGCCATCAACATGGATAAAGCATCCCCTACCACTCTCTGGAAACCATTTGGATCCATTAAGTGGTGGGGGCAGACCATCCAAATTGGTCCTACCTCCCTGCAGAGGGGAAGGGTCGTGGAGAAGTCCAGTTGCACCAGGAAGTGATCTGACCATGGCACTTCTTTTCTTTCACATTTACTTAGTGTCAGATCACCCACGTCACTAGAGGTGAACACCAGGTCTAAGGCATGTCCGTGACTATGAGTTGGGCCAAACTTATTCAGGGACAGCCCCATGGAGGCCATGCTTTCCACAAAGTCCCAAGCAGCCCCTTGTAAGGTCATGTTGGCATGGATGTTAAAATCCCCTAGGACAACCAAACTAGGTATCTCCAGGAGAACATCCACCATGACCTGAAGCAGCTCGGACAGGGAATCCTTGGTGCAGCGGGGAGGTCAGTACACCAAAAGGAATCCTGTACTGCCCCTATTGCCCAGCTTCCAGAACATGCACTCAGAGAACTGGGTCTTCCCAGTAGGACACCTGATGCAAGCTAATGACTTCCTAAAAATCACTGCGACCCCCCCCTCCCCACCCACATGACCTGGGTTGCTGTGCGTAAGCAACCGGAAGATCAACAGGTTGATGGACTCTATGGAGTTGACGGAAAGGACTGGCAGAATCCGAAACCAGGGAGAGGAGATGGTGGAAGAAGATTGGAAAATTTAAAGTTTATATATAGACATATGGTAAAACTAATGAGTGATAGAAAAATGTTGGAATGATTTTTATGGGCTTAGCAGAAATGTTATAAGGAGTTAAGCATATATAAGTATTTTAGTTTTAATGGAAAATAAGGTTAAAAATACGTTATTTACAATATGATAGAAAATGGAGAAAGATGGAAAGGATTTGCTGAAACAATTAATAGAAGTGGAATACAAAAAGGGAGGTGAGAGGAGGTCGAGGAAACAAGGGAATGAAAGATAGAGTATGGAAAAGGGATGATGTATGTTTTTAAATTGTTTTTGTTTTGTTTTATTTAGGGTTAAGGTTAGGGAGCGTGGTTTGTTTAGTTTAGTTTAATGTGTTTAGTTTTGAGTTTAGGTTGTGTTTTGCATTGTCTATATATTGTACTATATTGTGTGTTTTTTTCCCTTCTCCTTTTTGCTTTCCTCCTTTGTCTTTTTTTCTGTTTTTCTCTTCCCTTTTTGTAATCTATAAAAGTAATAAATATTATTTTTTTTTAAAAAAAAAGAGAAACCAGGTGGGCAAGCAGCGGCAAGGAAAGGCCCATTTGCTTCATCCAACCAGGTCTCTGTCACACATGCCAGGTCAAATCCTCCATCCACAATCAGGTCGTGGATGGCAGTGGTTTTATTTATCATTGACCTGGCATTACACAGCAACACCTTCAGGTCATGTGGGTTTCCCCTGTTGATTCCAGCATCCCTCCGGTCAAGGCCAGACCCGGAGGCAGGGATAGTCTTCAAACAATGACTAAACCTGCCTCCTCGGTAATGACATGGTCTGGTCTTAGCGTAATTCCTCCTCCTGCCCATGATCACCCAGATCGGATGTGCTAGTGCTTCCCGCCCCCCGTGGAACTTGTCCCAGCCATTGTGTTGGCTGGGGCCCCACTCCCAGGCAGCCCTGATCCTGCCCCTTAAAAATGAAACACAAACTATACACAACCAATAAAACAACAAAAACAGAACAATTATATTCAAATTAATCCCCAACCAAATATCCATCCCACCGACCCACTCCCAACAAAGGAAAAAAGGGGAAAAAAATTTAAATGCCACCGACTGCTTGAGGACATTTTAAAACACATTAACCACTTGGAACAGGGAAGCAGTAGCAGAACAACTTCCCTCACTTTCCCAAAAGTTTGTTCCAAATAAGGGCCTGGGCCAGTTAGAAAGGGCCCTGGAAGGGAGCAGGCCCTGCAGTCCTCACCACAGGCGATGGTCTGTTTCTCTTCCACTTCCTGGTTCCACTACAAATAAAAAACAGTAAAATATCAGACATTAAAAACCTCCCAATACAGGGTTGCCTTCAGCTGTCTTCTAAATGTCAGAATGTTGCCCATTTCCTCGCCCTCTGCCTGGTTCCCTGTAACTTCGCTTCTCGCGGGGGGGGGGGGATCAGCAGAAGACCTTCAAAGGAGGACCTCCCTGTCCGGACTGAGCGATGGGGGTGGAGATGCTCCTTCAGGTCTACAGGGCTGAGGCTGTTGAGGGCTTTAGGTTGCAGATCTTGCTGCTCCATAACAATCTCATTCAGCAAATAAATTTATTACTGAAGGCAAAGAAGCATAACAGGTTCCAAAAAATAGCAAAAACTTACATAAAACCCTAACTTAGCATACCAAAACAGCACTCAACTAAGAATCAAACAAGCAGAGTAGAGAAATAGCAGACTAGGAAGTGGGACCAGGCGCCTTTCAGCCTTGTAATTTATATTCCATTAAATGTCAGAGTAACCTTGGGACTGGATAACAAGCCTGGCTCACTCCAGTTTAAACCAGCTTCATCTGGTTCCCCAAAACAAGAAAGGTTCTTCATAACCTCATCGCAACTTATCCCACCACCAGCTCTCAGCAAAAAGAAACTGCCGAGTTTCAGGAAGCCTGCATTAGATCAATACTTTTCTATGCCAGGAAAATGCAACCATGACACTTTAAAGGTCAGCACTAACAATTTGAATTGTGCTTGAAAATATGCTGGGAGCCAGGTAAGGTCCTTTAGGAGCAGTGATATGTGGTCTCGGCGCTGATCCCATTCAGTTGCAGTTTCTGGGTCACCTTCAAACGTAGCCCCATGTAGACCACATCGCAGTAGTCCAAGCCGGAAATAACCAGAGCATGCACCACTCTGGCGAGACAGTCTGCGGGGAAGGAGGGTCTCAGCCTGCGTTCCAGATGGAGCTGCTAGACAGCTGCCCTGGACACAGAATTGACCTGTGCCTCCATGGTCAGCTGTGAGTCCAAAATGATCCCTAGGCTGCACACCTGGTTATTTAGGGGCACAGTTACCCCATCAGAACCAGGGGGTCCCCCACACCTGCCCACCCCCTGTTCCCCAGGGACAGTGCTTCTGTCTTGTCAGGATTCAAGCTCAATCTGTTAGCCACCATCCATCTTCAAACCACCTCCAGGCACCAAAACAGGGCATTCACCGCCTTCACTGATTCCGATTTAAATGAGAAGAAGAGCTGGGTATCATCCACATACTGGTGAAAACCCAGGGAAAAGCCCCGATGATCTCTCCCAGCAGCTTCTTGTAGATATTAAAAAGCATGGGGGAGAGGACGGAGCCCTGAGGCACCCCACAAGTGAGAGCCCAGGGGTCTGAACACTCATCCCCCAACTTTCTGGACATGGCCCAGGAGGAAGGAGGGGAACCACTGCATAGCAGGGCCCCCAGCTCCCCTAGAGGGTCCAGAAGGATACCAAGGTCACAGGTCTCCAAAACTGCTGAGAGATCCAGCAGAACCACGAAACAGCAGAACCGGGGAAGTTTCAGTTCCATGATGAGGCCTGAATCCCAATTGGAAGGATAATGGTGGCAGAAGCTTTCCTGGTCCTGCAACCCAAAAGCTCCAGACACAAGACTTTCATTAGCTTTCAAGGGGCCATCGGATACTTGGTGGTCTTTTCTTCAAAAGACAAATATTCTGATTACTTTTTAATTGATGTATGATATAAACAGCACTTCTGTTTTACATATTCCACATTGGAGAGATTTTGATACACAGGTCTGAGTTCATCGCTCCCCCTGAAACTGCTGTGTTAGCAGCACTGCCTGGGCAGTGTGTTTGGGGGTCCTGGGCTGCCTAGACAACAAGACCCCCTTCTCAGCCTGGCTTATATGGTCCCAAGGAAAGCAGAGCAGTACGTTAGGCACCAGCTTGGCTGCAGGAGTGGCTGGAAGGTGGTGTGCAGGACACCATCTAACCATCTTAGAGACTCCACTCTGGATTTCTGTAGGTTTTCCTCCATAGCATTTTCTTATCCTGAAGATAACTCAAGAGGAAGTGAGGGAGTGCACCAAAGTATTACGACCAGAGTTTTCCTTCTCGAAGGGTTCCCTTCCCTGGTTTACGAGCCCCATCTGCCCTCACTTTCCTCTGCAGAATGAGCAGAATCTGCCTTCTTGACTGTGGAATTCACTGTTGTTCTCATCCTCTCCATCCACCAGGGCCTGCCTTCACCTGCAACAGAATTCCGTAATACACCAAGGATTTGAGACCCATCAGGTATCCTCACCTGGTTTAGCTGGCCGGTTGAAGCCGTTCCTGGGATTGTGGCCCCTGTTCCATCCTGACAGCTTCTGGAAGCCACAGGTGAGAGCTGAGTGCAGGGTGGGGACCAATGGTGGATAAATTACCCCATAAGGTGCATGACATTTCCCCCACCAAAGGTACTACCGCTCCCCTAACACCCCATGACATCGTATGATTATGATCTTTAAGACAGGACAGGAATAAATTCATATCCCCAGAAATAACACAACTTCAGGCCATTCGTGAATCAATATTACATTTTCAAGGTACTACACATTCCACTAAGTACAGTTTATCTATTTGCCTTGAATATCCTGCTTTTCAGTGTCATTTTAGGATAGTCCTGCGTCAGAAGACGGGCATGAGATCAGACAGCACACCATTCTTCAAAAAATCATGCTGCTTCATGAACATTGATTGAGGATATTGAAACTTGCTCATGAATTATTATCATTTGTTTTTTTTTATAATTTTTTATTAAAGTTTTAAACAACAAAAGAAAAAGAAAACAACACACACAAAAAACAGTACAAAACTCAACAGTAAAAAACACAAAGCATAACAATTAAAAACAAACTCTCTTTTCCATTTCCAATTTTAAAATACTTATTTTCTAGACTTCCTCATACCTCCCTCTTTTGTATTCCAATCTACATTATTTGTCCAGCAGTTTCTCTTCCACTTTTTTAATCCCAATCTTTAACTTAATAAAATGTTAAAATATATAACTTCAACTTTTTTAAACCTAATCCTTGATCTTAATGTCATATAACTTTAAAATTTTCCCTTTTAACCTGTACAGCTGGAAACCATTTACTTTCGGTCCAACATCCCTTTAACATTCCTTAATTTTGCAATGTTTCTGAAGGTAGTCTTTGAATTTCTTCCAGTCTTCCTCCATCGACTCTTCTCCCTGGTCACGGATTCTACCAGTCATTTCCGCCAATTCCATATAGTCCATAAGTTTCATCTGCCATTCCTCCAGCGTGGGAAGTTCTTGTGTCTTCCAATACTTTGCGATGAGTATTCTTGCTGCTGTTGTTGCATACATAAAGAAAGTTCTATCCTTTTTAAACACCATTTGGCCGACTATGCCCAGGAGAAAGGCCTCTGGTTTCTTAGGGAAGGTATACTTAAATACCTTTTTTAATTCATTATATATCCTTTCCCAGAAAACCTTAATCTTTGGGCACGTCCACCAAAGGTGAAAAAATGTACCTTCAGTTTCTTTACATTTCCAACATTTGTTATCGGGCAAGTGATAGATTTTCGCAAGCTTGACTGGGGTTATGTACCACCTGTATATCATTTTCATGATATTCTCTCTTAAGGCATTACATGCCGTAAATTTCATACCTGTGGTCCATAACTGTTCCCAGTCAGCAAACATAATGTTATGTCCAACGTCCTGTGCCCATTTAATCATAGCCGATTTTACCGTTTCATCCTGAGTATTCCATTTCAGCAGCAAGTTGTACATTCTTGACAAATTCTTAGTTTTGGGTTCTAACAATTCTGTTTCTAATTTGGATCTTTCCACCTGGAAGCCAATTTTCCTGTCCAATTTAAATACCTCCATTATCTGATAATAATGAAGCCAGTCTCGCACTTTATTTTTTAGTTTTTCAAAACTCTGCAATTTCAATCTATCTCCGTCTTGTTCCAAAATTTCCCAATATTTCGGCCATTTGACCTCCATATTGACCTTTTTCAAGGCTTTCGCTTCCATTGGTGACAGCCACCTTGGGGTTTTATTTTCTAGCAAATCCTTATATCTTATCCAAACATTAAACAGCGCTTTCCTGACAATGTGGTTTTTAAATGCTTTATGTGCTTTGACCTTATCATACCATAAATATGCATGCCATCCAAATACATTATTAAAACCTTCTAGGTCCAAAATGTCAGTGTTTTCAAGAAGTAGCCATTCTTTCAACCAGCAAAAAGCTGCTGATTCATAGTACAGTTTGAGGTCTGGCAGGGCAAATCCACCTCTTTCCTTTGCATCCGTTAGTATTTTAAATTTTATTCTGGGTTTCTTGCCCTGCCAGACAAATTTAGAAATATCTTTCTGCCACCTCTTGAAACAATCCATTTTGTCCACAATTTGCAATGTTTGAAACAAAAACAACATTCTAGGCAATACATTCATTTTTATCGCAGCAATACGGCCTAGCAGTGAAAGCTTCAAATTTGACCAAATTTCTAAATCTTTTTTCACTTCTGACCAACATTTTTCATAGTTATCTTTAAATAAATTCCATTTTTTGCTGTCATGTTAATCCCCAGGTATTTAACTTTCTTAACCACTGTTAAACCTGTCTCATTCTGAAACCTCTCTCTTTCAAACGGTGTTAAATTTTTCTCTAGAACCTTGGTTTTTGACTTGTTCAATTTAAATCCTGCCACTTGACCAAATTCTTGAATCAGTTCTAAAACCCTTTTAGTACTAGATTCTGGCTCCTGTAACGTCAATACTAAGTCATCTGCAAATGCTCTCAATTTATAGTGTTTAGTTCCGACCTGTATACCTTTAACCATCTGGTCCCTTCTAATCATATTCAACAGAACCTCCAGGACCGAAATAAAAAGAAGTGGGGAAATTGGGCAACCTTGTCGTGTCCCTTTTTCAATTTTAAGTTCTTCCGTCACAACATTATTTACAATTAGTTTAGCCTTTTGTTCTAAATAAATTGCACTTATACCATTCTCAAAACCTTGGCCTACCCCCATACCCTGTAGATTCTTCTTCATAAAATTCCAAGAAATATTGTCAAAGGCTTTCTCCGCGTCTACAAATATCAACACTGCTTTAGTGTTTATATTCACTTCTAATTTTTCCAAAATATCAATTATATTCCTCAAATTGTCAGACAAATGTCTTCCTGGGAGAAAGCCCGCTTGGTCTTTATGAATCTCTTCCATCAACACTTTTTAAATCTCTTCGCCAAAATATCTGCAAAAATTTTGTAATCCACATTAAGTAATGATATAGGGCGGTAGTTCTTAAGTTGTGTCTTTTCAGTCTCTGTTTTTGGTACAAGTGTAATATATGCTTCTTTCCACGACTCTGGTGCCCTCTTCCCCTCCATTATTTCATTGCAGACCTCTTTCAATGGTTGAATTAACCATTCTTTTAAAGATCTGTAGTATCTAGAGGTCAAGCCATCTGGTCCTGGAGATTTACCCAGTTGCATGTTTTGAATGGCACCTTCTATTTCCTGTTCAGTTATTCTGTCATTCAAAATTAGTCTATTTTCTTGAGATATTTTTTGTAGTCCATTTGTTTTCAAAAATTGGTCTAAATCTGTTTCTTTCACTGGCCCTTGAGTAAATAGTCTTTTAAAATACTTGTGGAAACAACTTCTAATCTCCGCAGGGTTCTGTATATTCCTTCCTTCCACTTCTAAATTCGTAATCGTATTTAGTTTTTGTCTCTTTTTCATTTGCCATGCCAACAATTTACCACATTTATTGGCCGATTCAAAAGTCTTTTGTCTCATTTGTTTAATTTTCCATTCTATTTCCTGATTCATTATTTTCATATATTGTACTCGATATAACTTTAACTCTCTCAGAATCTCTTGAGATTTGGGATTTACTCTCAGTCTTTTTTCACATTCATTCATTTTGTTCATAATTTTATCCTTCTTCTCATTTTGAGTTCTTTTCTTTATCGCATTCTGTTGTATTAAGAACCCTCTCATAACCGCTTTACTTGCATCCCAGATTACTCTTTTCTCCACGTTGGAACTAAGATTTATCTCGAAGTAATCTCTTAGAGTTTTTTGGGCCTTCTTAAGAAATTCTTCATCTCTAAATAAGGTGTCATTCATCTTCCATCTGAAGGAGCCAGTTGGTGTTAGTCTCATTTCCATCTTAACAGCATTGTGGTCGGAGCAAATTTTCGGGCAGATTTCCACCTTTCTTGTCTTTGGTGCCATTCCTCTAGTTATCCAGATTTGGTCAATTCTTGTCCAAGTCATTTTGGCTTCAGAAAAGAAAGTTCCCTCTTTAGCCAAGGGGTTTCTAATTCTCCAAATATCCACTAAATCCAAGTTGTCTGTCATATCAAAAAAGGTTTTCGGTAGTCTACCATCTTTGGTGACTACCTGTCTTTGTGCCTTGTCCATATAAGTAGATACCACTCCATTCATATCTCCCATCAAAATCATGTTGTAATCCATATGGTCCATCAAGGTCTCATGCAACTTCTTAAAAAAATCAAATTTCCCGTCATTTGGTGCGTAAACTCCTACAATCAAAAATTTTTCTCCTTGTGTTTGAATTTCAATTGCCACAAATCTTCCTTGGTCATCTTTAAAAACAAATTTTGGTGATAAATTGTCTTTTGCGTAGATCACAACCCCTCTCTTTTTAACTTTATCTGACGAAATAAATTCCTGACCAAGTCTTTTATTTATCAACAATTTCCTGTGTAATCTTGTTATATGTGTTTCTTGTAAACAAATTAGGTCCAATTGTTCGTTTTTTAATATATGAAATACTGACTTCCTTTTCTGAGGGGAATTCAAACCCCGACAGTTCCATGTTAAAAGTTGCAGGGCCATGATGTTATTGTTTTAGTTCTCCTCCTACTGCACCTAGTGCCTGTTCCTCATCCGTCGGTGGTATCCCTTCTTTCGAACGGTCTTTTGGTTCCGGAAATAGTTCTTTTTGTAGGTCTTCTCCGTGGTCTCTGCAAAATTTGTCTTTGTCGTCTTCCGATCTTATTTTCCTCTTCTTTCCTTTGTAGCTAAAAGACAGGCCTTGAGGGAGTTCCCACCTGAAGTTGATATTGTTCCTTCTCAGCAGGGTAACCAAGTCTTTATATTTTGATCTGAGATCCAGAAGGTATTTCGGAATATCTTTGAATATTTCCACCCTTGTCCGATGGATTTCCAGTGTCTTCTTGAAATGTAGGCCCAAAATCTTATCCCTCTCTTCTTTTGTTCGAAAAGTAATCAGACAGTCTCTCACCTTCTTCTCTCCTCTTCTCCCAAGTCTGAAAGCATTTACTATTCTAAAACTGTCTTTTGCCAGTTCTGGATCCCCAAAGTCCAAAAATTCCTGCGTGAGAAATTCAGCTAGATTGTCCTTTTCCACCTCAGGTACCGATCTGACCCGCAAATTCACTCGCTTTTCCTTCAAATCTATCATAGACAGGGTTAGTTTATGGTCTTCCAATTGTTTATGCAGTGTTGGTAATTCCTCTTGAACCTCTTTAACTTCAGTAGCAGAAGTTGTAGCAATTTCTTTAGCCTCTTCCGCAATCTGGCGTGTTGAGGCCGATTCCTCTAATAATTTCTGAATAGTCTCTGTGTTAGTATTTACTTTTTGGCCCAGGTTATTTATGCTTGCAGTATTTTGATCAATCTTGTCACATGCCTCTGCTACTTGTTGGCTTATTCTATTTAAAGATTCATTGACTTTGGCCAAAACTTGAGCAAAGGCATCATCACTTGTCGTACTTTTTACCTTTAATTGTGCCGATGAGGCTGTTGTTGAGGTTCCAGAAGGGCCTGAGGCCGAAAATCTCCTTTGTAATCCTTCTTCTGTGCGAATAGTCCTCCCCAATCTTGTAGTCGAAGCATCCACCTTCTCTTTACCATTTGCCATTCCTTAGATAATGCTCAAGGTCAGTCACGTAGTTGAAATTAAACAGTGGAAATTTCCTACCAAGCAGTGTGAGAACTCCTCAAGCCCGCTACAGTTTCAATTATAACAAGTTGTAACAGTTCCAAGTTCCACTAGGGGGACACTGTAACAGTCATAAAAGTTCTTGGATACTTTAATTTCTTTTTTAAGCCCCCCTAGTTTGTTCAGGAAGAAAACAGTCTATTCACAATCTTTAACTTAGGACCAGGAGATATATATTCACATAATTTGTCCAAACTTTTATTTCCTGTGCAGGACTAGCTGTCAAAATATATTGCAAGGCAGTACCTCTCTTTCTTTCCTAAGATCTGGAGATCCTTTCCCAGGGAATTGAGTGATGGTTTAATCCCTTCTTTTCCACTCTTTATGAAGAAATCACATCCACAATTCTCCCCCCTTTTCCCTCAATTTAAAGAGGGAAGAGTCCAGGTTGGATGATTGGATTAAAGTCCGCTAAAACGTACTTTTCAAATGCTTCCGCTTTCAAGTTCAATGCTTTATTTTATCTACAAAGAAAGAGGCTGACTTCCTTTTTAAACCTCTTTCCGTTTTCGGCCAGATTCCAGTTTGTACAGTTCCAATTAGATTTTATCCTACTCACGGATCGTTGATTTTCAGGTCCAGATTTCAAGGAAGAAAGGCAGCGCTCTCCGGTCAACAGCTTGCGGCTTCACACCACGAACGAGCAGACAGCCCACAGCACAGCGCTCTCCCCCGCTCCGATTTCAAGCCCGTTGCTGGGCTTTTTACCGGGTTGGGGGGGCGCCAAATGTGCCCGCTGGGTCCCAGGCTCACAGGCTTCCCCCGCCTGTGATTTTTGAGGGTCCCCCGCTGCGCCGAAGCGGGATCCGACCCTTTTCTCGTGGCGCTAATTCCCTCTAGCCGAGGAAATCCACCATCGACCGCTGGCGCCGCCTCCGGAAGTCATGAATTATTATCATTTGACATGGCAACTTTATTTCCTAAAAACTGGGGAAATGGGTAGGGAATGTAGGAGACGTTGAAATAGGAGAAGGTGCTAATGGCATCTGATGTGCTCTCTTTTCCTTTGTTCTCTTCCTTGAAAGCCAAAAAGGATTTCCTTTCCTCCCACTCTGAAGAAGGGGATGGAGAAGACAGTCAAAACTCCAGGGAATGGTGCACCTTTTGTTTCATTAGGAATAGAATTTAAAATGTGGAATATGCTTCACTGATAGTTCACATCAACGACCTCCAACAGGGGAGATACCATATAAAGGTATGGAGATCGGAAAGAGCTTTAGTGATAATGGTAAACTTAGAACACATCAACAGAATAACACGAGGAAGAAACCATATAAATGTATGGAGTGTGGAAAGAGCTTCAGTCAGAGTGGACACCTCAATACACATCAACGGATTCACACAGGGGAGAAACCATATAAATGTATAGAGTGTGGAAAGAGCTTTAGTGAAAATGGAAAACTTAGAAGACATCAACGGACTCACACAGGGGAGAAACCATTTAAATGCCTGGAGTGCGGAAAGAGTTTCAGTGATAATGCAACCCTTAGAAGACATCAACGGACTCACACAGGGGAGAAACCATATAAATGTGTAGAGTGTGGAAAGAGCTTTAGTGATAATGGTAGCTTTAGAAAACATCAACGAACTCACACAGGGGAGAAACCATATAACTGTATGGAGTGTGGAAAGTGCTTCAGGCAGAATGGAGACCTTAAATTACACCAGCGGATTCACACAGGGGAGAAACCATATAAATGTATGGTGTGTGGAAAGAGCTTTAGTGATAATGGAAGCCTTAGAAGACATCAACGGACTCACACAGGGGAGAAACCATTTAAATGCCTGGAGTGCAGAAAGAGCTTCAGTTTCAATGCAACCCTTAGAAGACATCAACAGACACACACAGGAGAGAAACCATTGAAATGTATGGAGTGCGGAAAGAGCTTTCGTGATAATGGAAGCCTTAGAACACATCAACGGACTCACACAGGGGAGAAACCATATAAATGTGTAGAGTGTGGAAAGAGCTTTAGTGATAATGGTAGCTTTAGAAAACATCAACGAACTCACACAGGGGAGAAACCATTTAAATGCCTGGAGTGCGGAATGTGCTTTAGTTTCAATGCAACCCTTAGAAGACATCAACAGACTCACACAGGGGAGAAACCATATAAATGTATCGAATGTGGAAAGAGTTTCATTCGGAGTGGACACATCAATATACATCAACGGACACACACAGAAGAGAAACCATTTAAATGTACGGAGTGTGGAAAGAGCTTTAATGATAATGGAAGCCTTAGAACACATCAACCGGCTCACACAGGGGTGAAACCATATAAATGTATGGAATGTGGAAAGTGCTTCAGTGATAATGGAAGCCTTAGATCACATCAACGGACTCACAAAGGGGAGAAACCATTTAAATGTATGGAGTGCGGAACGAGCTTCAGTCAGAGTGGAACCCTTGATTTTAATGAACAAACTCACACAAAACACAAACCTTATAATTATCAGGAAAGTAGATATAGGTTCAGTCCTGGTGGAAATTCTAAATCAACAGATTTGCGGACAGGAAGAACTTTAGGAGTTGAAGCTCTTCAAACCATCAACAAACTCAAAGAGGAGAAGCAGTTTAAATGAAAAGATTGCAAAAAGTGCTTTATTTACAATGGAGTGTTTAAGGAAAATCCAGAGACTCTCACATGTAAGAACCCATTTAGATGTATGAAGTGTTGGGTGTCTTCCTCTCAGAGTCCACTCCACAGAAATGAACTCAGGAGGAAATCAGTCTTTAACATATGTTGTGTATGTGAAGTTCTTGTATTTATGTGGAAAACTCTATAGTAATGAAATATTGAAGGCAATGTCAAACAATGTGATTATAATCTAAGATGTAAAGTACCTTTCGATAGAGAAGGGGTGAGGATTTATCTGGATTGCTTGTGGTCAGTGAGGATTAGGGCTGGGCGATATATTGTCCAAACTGGTTTCTAGACCACATTGTGATAACCTTTCAAAAACAATTGATATGGCAACACACCACAGATCACAGTGTGTGTTTTGGGATGCCCATTTGCCTGGAAGCTGCCAGCAGAAAGGTTTGCTTCGTGAAGCCCCTGCAGATGTCAAGTTGCTGACCTCTCCCAGATGACAGGAAGCAAAAGACACACCTCCATTGCCCTGTGTCATTCCAGCCTCTTTCCTCCTTTGCTCCCTTCTGCCGGATTGTGTGCCTGACTTAGATATCCTGTGTGCTGTATTTTTCTACTGCTGAAACTGGATTTGCTCTCAGGAGCTAAGTTTTGTGCCTCACTGGGGACCCAGTGAGAACTGTATGCTTTGAAAACTAAGTAAACTATTACTGAAGAAGTCCGGCTGCCTCTGTGTGTGTTTTTGACCTCAGTGTGGGACTTGCTCTTCACGTGGCCCCTACCCTGCTGCTACTTGGCTTATGCCCTGGAGTTGCTGTACTCAAGCATGCAAGACGGGTGCATATGTGTATGACTGGTTTTTGCACCAAACTCTATCACCCCCACCACCGCATGATCTCCAAACACTGCTTCTTCACTAACTAGAACTTCTCCCTGCCTTCTACATGTTCTGAAGAAAACTTAAAATGCTGTAATTTAATGGGAGATTTTCCCCAAGCCTTATTGCAAGAGGGGGAAGGAGGTGCTGCAGGTACCAGGGAAGTCTCCTGATGGGTCCCATCTTCACTCATGAACCCCATGGGGCAACCCCAGATCCCCTGCTTATTCTGGGGTTTGGGGAAGATAGTACTTTTCCATAGTCCCAGAAGTTATTATTCTTCCTACCAGAGGACCAGTGTGCATATTATTATCGTACTGATTTTACTGTTGTTGCTGCTTTTGCTGTCATGGACTGGCTGGGTGAAAGGGGGGGAGGCACCAGCTGGGGAACCCCCAAGGGAAGAAGGCTCGGAGGTCGGGTCTTGTATGCCTCCAAAGGCTATCAAAACTCCTAGGTCTGGCCAATTAAAGGCTGATATGGGAGCCATTGGGGGCCAGGTCGGTTCTTTCATTTTCTCCTCTCCTCTGGAAAAGTGCTCTTTCTTCTGGGGTTTGATTACTTTTGCCTCCTCCAGTGCCCACTGCACCATCAGAGAGGTACAATACTGTCCTTTCAATTTCTGTAGCCATGTAGGGCTCTCTCTCAGGACCGCTACCCAGGAGTCTGCCTATGCAAACTGCTCCGAACATCCAGGGTGTTTTGTCACGCTTCAAAAGACCTGGTTGGTTAGGTCCCGGTCCTACGAGCCCGGGGGGGGGGGGTGCTGTCCGCAGGGAGTTCTCAGTCGTATTTGCGTTCGAATTTGCCAAAATACGCTCCACCATATTTGCGTTCGAATTTGCCAAAATTATTCACCATGCCTTGTAACGGAGTCCATTCCTCCTGTGAGTGTGACCTCTCCCATTATATCCTCCTGCTTAAGTTGTTACACAAGGGGGACTCCCTGCCCTTCCAACATGTTGCAGATCAAATAAAAGTTGGGGGAAAGCCTTTTGAAAAGAGACTGGTGGCCAGCAAGGCCGACAGTGAGAAAGCCTATAGAAAGAAAAGACTCATAAATAAATTCCCCCCTCAGCTGCACAGCCCACCAGTCCTGGGCAGAGAACTCGCAGTTGTGCCAAGGGGACAGAGAGCCTGATCTCTGCAGCCCCAGGCCTCAGCCGGACAGGAGCCTTCAAGCAAAACACAAAGTAAGAAAACTCCTCTTTCCTCACAGCCTCAGCCCCTCTTGGCCGAGATAGAGACAATAAAATACATAGACATACACAGAGCTGAGAGCCTGTTGCGGGGGGGGGGTCCCCTTTGTCTCTCTCACACACACAGCTCGCCCTCCAGCCCCAGCTACCCTGGCAGAGCTGGAAACACGAGTCTCAATGCAAAGCACACAAAAAGAAAGCTCTTTCCCAAAATGTGCAATTTAACTCCTACCAAAACACACAGAGCAGCCTCCCCCTTTGCCTGAGACACACACAGAGCTGACAGGCCACGGCTCCCCTCCATTTCAAGGAAATTGCCCCCCTCCCCGCACATCCTTCCCAGACCCCGCCACCGCAAACGCCAAATCCTGTCCCCAATATGTTGCTCCTCCTCGCCATCCGGCTTCTGTTCCGGGAATAAGGGGGGGGTGAGCCCCCTCCCAAACTGCCTGCTTCTCCCGCAAGTGGAGCTTCTGCGCCGCATTGCTGCTCTGCGCCGTAGCTCTAGGGGCGCGCGCTTTCGGAAAGGGGAGGAGGGGCGGCAGGTAAATATCCCCCCCACCCACGTGGATGTTGCTGGAAAGGAAAGGAGAATCGGGAGCGAGGACAAAGAGGTAAAGGGCTCGCGGGGGGGGTGGGGAGGGAAGGATCCAGAGACCCCCTCCAGCTCCCCAAAGCGCCTTTCGTGGATCTGAATCCCTGCACGCGTGCTGCGAATGGGGTTTTCCTTGGACCCTTAAGAAGCCCACCCAGGGGATCCCAACGAAGCCCCCTCGCCCCATTTCCCCGCGCAGGCATCCCTGGGGCGCTGTGGGTTCCGTGCGGAAAGAGGTGGGCCATGAAAGGGTTAACAGGAGTGAGGGACGCCTGGATAGTGTTACGGTAAAATCTGGGTGCAGGGTTACTCTGCCACCCAGCTCGTCGGACTAAGTCCGCGGGTCCCTGCGGAAGAAAATGAGCTCAGCCGGAGACAGGAGCAAGTTCCAGGAGATCCGAGTTTATTGCGCAACAGGTTCAAGGCGAGATTGAACAGCGAGAAAGGGGTGACATGAACTTTTGAAATTTCCCTCCATGTCCCAGAATACAGTGCAAAATACATCCCAGTTACATCATGAATACATTAAGAAGAGGTTGGGTTACACCAGATTAACATATGGAGGAGGGAGGGGGGAATATGCAGAGCTGGAGATATGCGCAGATAAGCACATCCTGAGAAGACAATGATCCATGTATGCATAGTCTGTCACCTGGCATCGCCCGGAGGAAGGGCTTGGCAGAGCGATTTGACAGGATTAGGGTCTTGACACCTTGCTTGAGGGATTATGGAGGGCAGGGGAGGTGTCATGGAGTCCTAGAGAAATTGAGCAAATTGGCAAGTTGATTTTCTATGAATTTTATAGATTTTAGTCCCTTTTGACATTGGCAATTGGAAATAAATGGATATATTGTAGCGAAGAAGGTGAAGAAGAAGACATGCCCCCCCCTTCCGTATCAATAGAGACCCGCCTGTCCCTCCCCTGCTCGTCTTGGGGGGGGCCCTCCGGATGGAGAGATGGGGGGCGCAGGGCGTGGGGTGAGCTACGCCAAGGGGGGCCTCTGGGTGCAGGGGAGACTCCGGGACAGAGGGAGGGAGTCGAGGAAGTGGGGAGGGGGAGCATCCCTGGGGCAGAAAAGTGCAGCAATTGGGGGAGGGGGACAGCTAGGGAGACCAGTCTTTGGGGACACATCTCCATCGTGGCGCCCGCTGGGATTCTCTGGAGGGGCCGCCTTGGCTTCTCTCTCCCACCCAGGAATCAGACACCCCTTCAAGGTGACCAGGAGGGATCCCTGGAAAGTGGGGGGGGGGTCGTGTCCCCCCACCCCTTCCTTCCTGCAAGCTCCATCCTCTTCCCACCCCATAAGCCCCTGCCCTGTCCAGACTGCGGTTCTGCCCAGTCCAACCGTTGGTCCCCTGGAGAGGAGAGGAAATCCCGAGAGGAAGGGGGGAGGGGGGAGGCCTTCTCAGAAGCGGCTCTTTGTTCCCGCAATCCCACCCAGGAAGCAGCCAGAAACCTTTTCCTCTCTCTCAGGCTTCCATCTTTAAGTGTCGTTTCCACTGCCTGGTTCATTGAGGGTGAGGATAATGTACACCTCTCATCAGAAACAGGGGTGCAGAGTACCCCTGTTTCTGATGACAGGTGTACCCCTGTGATATAGAAGTCAAAAGCATTTCTGTTCCTCTTATTCTTTGTAGGCAGTGTCAGAGTGACTGACAAGCTGGGATACAATCCATCAGCATCCGATGATAGCAATTGCCTGAATCTTCCCAGTCAAAGGACCCATTTTCATGATAGACAGTACGTGTGACTGGAAGCTCTACACACCGGGTGTGCCTGTGCAGGCCAAAGACTGCCAGTATTGGCACAGGTGAGGTGTGTGACCTCCACAAATTTACAGACTGTATGTGAATGAGAGTTTGTGGGTGGGATTATCATTTACGGCAACCCTGTGATTTTCTCCCCCCATAACATTTTGTGAGCTGATATTGCAGTACGAATTCCAAAATAACTTTAAAAAATCACAAGATGATGATGATGATAATTTATTTATACCTCACCCTCCCCAGCCAAGGCCGTGCTCAGGGGGATGATAAGAATGATTGCAGTATGTATCTCGTTCCCATCTGGTTGGGTTTCCCCTGCCACTCTGGGCAGCTTAAAGTACATAAAAAAGACAGTAAAACACCAAACATTAAAAACATCCCAATGCAGCTGTCTTCTAAATGTCAGAGAGTTGCCTGTTTCCTTGCCCTCTGAGAGGGGGGCATTCCATGGGGCAGGAGGCCCTCTGTCTGGTTCCCAGGAACTTCACTTCTGCCAGCAAGGAAACCAGCAGAAGACCGTTAGAGGAGGACCTTCCTGTCTGGAATAAGCGATGGGGGTGGAGACGCTCCTTCAGGTCTACAGCGCCGAGGCTGTTTATGGCTTAAGGTTGCAGATCTTGCTTCTCCATAACAATCTCCAGAGCAAGTTCCACGTATAATTAGCAGAGTAGCAAAAAATGCTCAAAGGCAGCAAAAAAATTAATTCAACTGAGAAATCTATTACAGTGGTACCTCTGGTTGCGAACGGGATCCGTTCCGGAGGCCCATTCGCAACATGCGCAGAACACAAACCACGTCTGTGCATGTGCAAGTCACGATTCACTGCTTCTGCGAATGCATGTGACAGCATTTTGCACGTCTGCGCATGCGCGAGCAGCAAAACCCGGAAGTAACTGGGTTGCCACGGGACACAAGACGGAAACGCACAACCTGAAGCAAACGTAACATGAGGTATGACTGTACTGAAGACAAATAAGCATAACAGGATCCAAAAAATAGCAAAAATGTAACTCACAGTAAAAGCCTGACTTAGCATACCAAAACAGCCCTCAAGTAAGAAACAGACAAGCAGAGTAGAGTAATAGCAGAATATGAAGTGGGAGCAGGCGCATTTCAATACTGTAATTTATATATAGTTCAATGTCAGAGTAGCCCTGGGACTAGATAACAAGCCTCCAGGTGGACGTGCCCCACCTGCCCTTCACGTTCCTCTTCCGCACGGGCAGAATCTGCCTTCTGGACTGTGGGATTCACGGTTGTTCTCCTCCTCTCCATCCACCAGGGCTTGACTTCAGGTGCAGCAGAATTCCCTAACACACCAAGGATTTGAGACCCATCAGGTATCCTCACCTGGTTTAGCTGGCCGGTTGAAGCCGTTCCTGGGATTGTGGCCCCTATTCCATCCTGACAGCTTCTGGAAGCCACAGGTGAGAGCTGAGTGCAGGGTGGGCACCAAGGGTGGAAAAATGACCCCAGAAGGTGTAGGACATGTCCCCCACCAACGGAACTACTGTTCCCCAACACCCCATGACATCTAGATTCAGGTAGGTAGCCGTGTTGCACACTTCTTCAGATACATGGAAACAGATGTCACCAGACCCTTGTATATCGTGGGAGGGTGGGGTGGGGTTTTTCTCAGAAGGGTACTCCTACCACCATCTCCCACTACCCATCACTATATGAAGAAGTGTGTAAGCACACGAAAGCTTATACCTAGAACAAACTTAGTTGGTGTCTAAGGTGCTACTGGACTATTTTTTATTTTTTTATTTCAACTGTGTCAGACCAACACAGCTACCTACCATTAAATACAGTTATCTCCTTGCTTTTAATATCCTGCTTTTCAGTGTCATATTAGAATAGTCCTGTGTCAGAAGACGGGCTCGATATCAGGCAGTACATCATTATGATAAACTGCCACCCCGCTATTCCCGGACCTGATCTGGAGACTGGTGGGGGGGAGAAGCAAGCTTTCTTCTCTCCATCGCCAGCCCCACAAGCTCGGGGGACAGCGGGGAGGCGGAGCGCCGCCATCCCACTATTCCCGGACCTGGTCTGGAGGCTGGCGGTGGGGAGAAGCAAGCTTGCTTCTCCCCATCGCCAGCCCCACAAGCTTGGGGGACAGCGGTGCAAGCCGCTGCCCCACGGAGGCTAGAGAGGCTGTACCTGAAGGCAGAAGAGGGAGATGGAGCGCTCCGTCTCCCTCTTCTAGCTTGGGGATGGTTGCGCAAACCTGGGGGGAAAATAAAAATTTTTCCCTTGATCTCCCCCCCCAAAAAAACTAGGTGCGTCCTATGGGCCGGTGCGTCCTAGAGGGCGAAAAATACGGTAGGTTAGTCCTGTGTCAGAAGACAAGCACAGGATCAGGCAGTACATCATCATTATAAAGAACCATTAGGGTGGGTGCTTCCGCCTGGGATTCCCATGTGCCAGCTGCTTTCCTTCTGCTTCTCCTGCTCTCTCCATGGAATGTGAGGCATGTAGACAGAGGTCCATCTCCCAGAACAGGAGCTTCCCTGAGCACCCATTCAGCTGACCCCAAGCACCAAGCCTTGTCACTAGTTCGCTCACCGACCCAGACCACAGTCCCTGGAAGAGACGTAGGCCTGAGCCTCCCACAATGGCCCATATGGACCTCCTGAGGTCAGTGAGACTGTGCAGGTGATTCATGAAGATCTAGAGGTGGAAATGGGAGCAACCACTTGATTTGAAAGGTAGTCTCAGAGGACAACGGTATTACAAGATCATGCTGTGTTATTAAAGATGATTGAGGATTATGAATGGTTGCTGATGCATTACTATCATTTGACATCATAAGATTTTCATTTCCTAAAAATTGGGAACATGGGGAGGACATGGGAGAATGTAGGAGATGTTGAAATAAGAGAAGGTGCTAATGGTGGTTGATGTGTCCTTTTTCCCCTGTGTTCTCTTTCCTGAAACCCAAACAGGATTTGCTTTCTGTCCACTCTGAAAAAGGTGATGGAGAAGACAGAATTGCAGGGGACAGGGCACCTTTCGTTTCATTAGGAATAGCCATTAAAATGTGTGAAATGTGGAATATGCTTCACTGAATGAGAACATAGTTCACATCAACGAACACAAAAAAGAAAGAACCCATTTAAAGGTATGGAGTGCGGAAAGAGCTTCTCTTTCCATGCAAAACTTAGAACACACCAGCGGACTCACAGAGAGAGAAAACGTTTTACGTGCAGGGAGTGCGGGAAGAACTTCAGTCAGAGTGGACACTTTAAATTGCACAAAGGGACTCACACAGAGGAGAAACCATATGAATGCATGGAGTGTGGAAAGACCTTCAGTCAGAGTGGAGACCTTAGATATCATCAACGGACTCATACAGGGGAGAAACCATATGAATGTATGGAGTGTGGAAAGAGCTTTAGTGATAATGGAAACCTTAGAAAACATCAGCGGACTCACACAGGGGAGAAACCATTTCAATGTATGGAGTGTGGAAAGAGCTTTAGTGATAATGGAAACCTTAGAAAACATCAGCGGACTCACACAGGGGAGAAACCATTTCAATGTATGGAGTGTGAGAAGAGTTTTAGTAATAGTGGATGCCTTAGGAAACATCAACGGACTCACACAAGGGAGAAACCATTTAAATGCATGGAGTGTGGAAAGCGCTTCAGTCAGAGTGGAGACCTTAGAAATCATCAACGGACTCACACAGGGGAGAAACCATTCAAATGTATGGAGTGTGAAAAGAGCTTTAGTTATAGTGGAATCCTTAGACAACACCAACGGACTCACACAGGGGAGAAACCATTTCAATGTATGGAGTGTGGAAAGGACTTCAGTCAGAATGGAAACCTTAGATCACATCAACGGACTCACACAGGGGAAAAACCTTTTAAATGTATAGAGTGTGGAAAGAGTTTCCGTTGTAATACAAGCCTTAGATCACATCAACGGACTCACACAGGGGAGAAACCATTTAAATGCATGGAGTGTGAAAAGAGCTTTAATGTTAATGGAAACCTTAGAAAACATCAACGGACTCACACATGAGGGGAAACCATCTCAATGTATGGAGTGCAGAAAGAGTTTTAGTGACAATGCAACCCTTAAAACTCAGCAACAGACTCACACAGGGGACAAACTATTTTAATGCATGGAGAATGAAAAGAGTTTTAGTAATAGTGGATACCTTAGGAAACATCAATGGACTCACACGGGGAAGAAACAATTTAAATGCATGGAGTGCGGAAAGACCTTTAGTGATAGTGGAAGCCTTAGAAGACATCAAAAGATTCACACAGGGGAGAAACCTTTTAAATGTATGGAGTGTGGAAAGAGTTTCCGTTGTAATACAAGCCTTAGATCACATCAACGGACTCACACAGGGGGAAAACCATTTAAATGTATGGAGTGCGGAATGGTCTTCAGTCAGAATGGAAGTCTGAAATTACACCAACAGACTCACACAGGGTGAGAAACCAAATAAAAGTACTGAGGGTGATAAGAGTTTTAGTAATAGGCGATGCCTTTTGGATCCATTAACGGATCTTGAGTCAGTAAAGCATGAGACTCTTAATCTCTGGGTTGTGGTTCAAGCCCCATGTTGGGCAAAAGATTCCTGCATTGGAGAGGGTTGGACTAGATGACCCTGGTGGTTCCCTTCCAGCTCTGTGAATGGTTCTGTTATTCTGTTGTATCTGAAGGGCTGTTCACAGGGAAGATGGAGCAAACTGGTTTTGTCAGAGATGCTTGTGCTGTGATTGCTGCACTGGAGGGGGTTGATCTAGAGGACCCTCGGAGGTCCCTTCCAACCATCCAGTTCTGTGATCCGATGATTAAAATACTCATAGGATGGTATGTGCCCTGCCAAACCACCCTGTAGCCCAAGCCCCATTCACCAGGCGAGACCCGGTGAGTCGAAGGAGGGCTCCGCTGTGGCAGCGGGACTGCCCAGGAGAACTTGGCTGGGGATCGTGTCCCTGGTTGGAGCTGCTGCTCCTGCACCCACCACCCGCACCCCTCCCAAGACAGGCCCTGGGATTGGGGAGGGGGGCAGAGTGGGGAGGGAAGAGTTGGCTGCCTGCCAGGGGTCCATTGGGGCGCCGAGCCTGGATTCTGCAAAAGCTCGCCAGCAGAGGTCCGCGTTGCATTTCCAGGGTTGCAAAGGCGATCGGGGCAGGTGGGGGATGGTGCTTGGATCCTGACCCGAGCTGCTGGAAGGGGGGAGTTGGTGGAGAGAAAGAGCTGGAACTGAGTTGCTGCGCATGAGGAGGAGCCTGCAGAGGAAGGAGGGAAAGAGGGACGAGGAGAGAGGGGCGCGTCTTGGCCAGGAGCAAGCTGAGGGGGCCGGCTGGGCATCTGGACAGATGGCCCCAACCTTATGGCCAGATCGCCACCGCGGAGCCAGTGGGTAGAGCGCCAGCCTGCAGGAAGGCATCTGGAGCCTTCCAGCGCGTCAGCTCCACCAACGAAACACAGCACCGGGATGAGGGATGACCCCAGCACTGCAGAGCGGATCAGGGTTCTAGCACCTCTGACAGACGCTGGAGGCGCACAGGCACCAAGCCCCCTCTCTGCTTCGCTTACCTCCCCAGACTCTCTCTGGCGCCCTCCAGAGCTTGGTGCCCGGGTGCTGGGCCCCCTTCGCACCCCCGGGAGAGACGGCTCTGCCCAGAGGAGAAGGGTATTCCAAGATCATGCTGTGTTATTAACGATTGAGGGTTATGAAAGCTTGCTGATGCATTACATCATTCCATTTTCATTTCTTAAAACGAGCGGAAGATGGGTAGGATGTGGAAGAATGTAGGAGATGTTGAAATGAGAGAAGGGGATAATGGCGCTTGTTGTGTTTTCTTTTCCTTTGTTCTCTTCCCTGAACCCCAATTAGGATTTCCTTTCTGTCCCCTCTGAAGAGAAGAGAAGAAAGTCATAATTCTGGGAAACGGAGCACCTTTCGTTTCATTAGGAATAGCCAGTAAAATGTGTGACATCTAGAGTATGCTTCACTGAATGAGCACACATAGCTCACATCAACAAGCTCAAACGGGAGAACATATGAAAGTGGCAGAAGTCTCACTGATAGTGGAAAACGTAGAACGCATCAGCTGATTCACATGGGCAAGAAAGGATTCGAATGCAGTGATTGTGGAAAGAACTTCAGTCAGAATGGACACAAGTTTACATCAACGGATTCACACAGGGGAAAAACCTTTTCAATGCAGGGAGTGTGGAAAGAGCTTCAGTCAGAATGGAAACCTGAAATTACACCAACGGACTCACACGGGTGAAAAACCATATGAATGTATGGAGTGTGGAAAGAGCTTTAGTGATAGTGGAAGCCTTAGAACACATCAACGGACTCACACAGGGGAGAAACCACATAAATGCACAGAGTGCGGAAAGAACTTCAGTCAGAGTGGAACACTTAAAAAACATCAACAGACTCACACAGGGGAAAAACCTTTTAATTGTATGGAATGTGGAATGAGCTTCAGTCAGAATGTGAAGCTTAGAATACATCAAAAGACTCACACAGGGGAGAAACCATTTAAATGCATGGAGTGTGGAAAGAACTTCAGTCAGAGTGGACACTTAAGTTTACATCAACGGATTCACACAGGGGAAAAACCTTTTCAATGTATGGAGTGTGGAAAGAGCTTCATTGAGAGTGGACTCCTCAATAGACATCAACGGACTCATACAGGGGAGAAACCATTTAAATGTATAGAGTGTGGAAAGAGCTTCAATTGCAGTACAAACCTTAGAATACATCAACGGACTCACACAGGTGAAAAACCATATGAATGTATGGAGTGTGGAAAGAACTTTAATAATAGTGGAAGCCTTAGAACACATCAGGAGACTCACACAGGGGAAAAACCTTTTAAATGTATGGAATGTGGAATGAGGTTCAGTCAGAATGGAAAGCTTAGAACACATCAACGGATTCACACAGGGGAGAAACCATTTAAATGCATGGAGTGTGGAAAGAGCTTCAGTCAGAATGGAAGCCTTAAATTACACCACCGGACTCACACAGGTGAAAAACCATATGAATGTATGGAGTGTGGAAAGAACTTTAATATAATAGTGGAAGCCTTAGAATACATCAGGAGACTCACATCGGTAAGAAACGATTTAAATGCATCGAGTGTGGAAAAAGCTTCAGTCAGAGTGGACACTTTAGACAACATCAACGGATTCACACAGGGGAGAAACCATTTAAATGTGTGGAGTGCGGAAAGAGTTTTTGTGAGAATGGAAAGCTGAAATTACACCAGCAGACTCATACGGGTGAAAAGCCATATGAATGTATGGAGTGTGGAAAGAACTTCATTCATATAGGAACCCTTAGATCACATCAACGGACTCACACAGGGGGGAAACCATATGAATGTATGGAGTGTGGAAAGAGCTTCAGTCAGAGTGGACACCTTAGACAACATAAACAGACTCACACAGGGGACAAACCATTTAAATACATGGAGTGTGGAAAGAGCTTCAGTCAGAATGGAAGCCTTAAATTACACCAGCGAACTCACACTGGTGAAAAACCATATAAATGTATGGAGTGTGAAAGAGCTTCAGTCAGAGTGGACACCTTAGACAACATCAACATCAACACAGGGGAGAAACCATTTAAATGTATGGAATGCGAAAAGAGCTTCAGTTTCAATGCAAATCTTATAACACATCAATGGACACACATGGGAGAAACCATTCAAATGTATGGGGTATGGAAAGAGCGTCAGTCAGTGGACTCCTCAATCGACATCAACGGATGCACACAGGGGAGAGATCTTTTTATTGAATGAAGTACAGAAAAAGCTTATGTCTGAATGGAAATCTTAGAGGAAGACATCCGCACACAGAGCAGAGAAACAATTTAAATGTATAGAGTGCGGAACAAGCTTTAGTCACAATAGATGTATGGAATGTGGAAGGAGCTTCGGTCAGTGGACTCCTCAATAGACATCAACGGACTCATACAGAGGCTAAACCATTTAAATGTATGGAGTGTGGAAAGAGCTTCAGTTATAGTGGAAGCCTTAGAATACACATAGTCTGGCCCTCCCCAAGAACAGAGGGATGGTTTACCAGCCCCAGAGGGTTGTAGTTTGCTGACCCCTGGTATATACTATCTATACATCATTTTCATTACATTCTCTTTCAGTTCTGTGCATGCAGTAAAGTTAATTCCTTCTTTTCCCCAGGTTTCTAACTGTATATTCTAACCAAAATCATTAAATACATTATTTACCTGATGATATTGCAACCAATCTGTCATTAACTTCATATTTCATCATAAGCTTTTATTTTTAATTTATTATCTGCTTCTATCAATAAGTCTCTGTAAGTGGCCCAATCTCATTTCATTGTTGTTGAGTCGTTTAATCATGTCTGACTCTTCCTGACCCCATGGACCAGAGCACGCCAGGCACTCCTGTCTTCCACTGCCTCCCTCATGCTGGTAGCTTCGAGAACACTGTCCCACCATCTCGTCCTCTGCCGTCCCCTTCTCCTTGTGCCCTCCATCTTTCCCAACATTAGGGTCTTTTCCAGGGAGTCTTCTCTTCTCATGAGGTGGCCAAAGTCTTGGAGCCTCAGCTTCAGGATCTGTCCTTCCAGTGAGCTGATTTCCAGGGCTGATTTCCTTCAGAATGGAGAGGTTTGATCTTCTTGCAGTCCATGGGACTCTCAAGAGTCTCCTCCAGCACCAGAATTCAAAAGCATCAATTCTTCGGCAGTCAGCATTTATGGTCCAGCTCTCACTTCCATACATCACTACTGGGAAAACCGTAGCTTTAACTAAACGGACCTTTGTTGGCAAGGTGATGTCTCTGCTTTTTAAGATGCTGTTTGTGTTTGTCATTGCTTTTCTTCCAAGAAGCAGGCGTCTTTTAATTTCGTGACTGCTGTCACCATCTGCAGTGATCATGGAGCAAAAGAAAGTAAAATCTCCCACTGCCTCCATTTATTCCCCTTCTGTTTTCCAGGAGGTGATGGGACCAGTGGCCGTGATCTTCGTTTTTTTGATGTTGAGCTTCAGACCATATTTTGTGCTCTCCTCTTTCACCCTCAATAAAAGGTTGTTGAATTCCTCCTCACTTTCTGCCATCAATGTTGTGTCATCTGCATATCTGAGGTTGTTGATATTTTTTCCGGCAATCTTAATTCCAGCTAGGGATTCATCCAGCCCAGCCTTTCGCATGATGAATTCTGCATTTATGTTAAATAAGCAGGGGGACAATATACAGCCTTGCCTTACTCCTTTCCCAATTTTGAATCAATCAGTTGTTCCATATCCAGTTCTAACTGTAGCTTCTTGTCCCACATAGAGATTCCTCAGGAGACAGATGAGGTGATCAGGCACTCCCATTTATTTAAGAACTTGCCATAGTTTGCTGTGGTCGACACAGTCAAAGGCTTTTGCATAGTCAATGAAGCAGAAGTAGATGTCTTTTTGGAACTCTCTAGCTTTCTCCATAATCCAGCGCATGTTTGCAATTTGGTCTCTGGTTCCTCTGCCCCTCTGAAATCCAGCTTGCCCTTCTGGGAGTTCTTGGTCCACATACTGCTTAAGCCTGCCTTGTAGAATTTGAAGCATAATGTCAGGGAACTGCCATCAGCCCAGACACGAGAGGTGGAAGGGCAGTTGTGTTATAGGGAACCTCCAAAAGTCTTGCGAAGCAGTTCCTCCTCGCCAGAGGAGGAAAGCCCCACCTCTAGTGGGGAGGAGGTGGTGGGACCAGGGGATGCTAGGGAGAGCCTCAACACCAACCTTGAGCAAGCCGGAGGGGAGGGAAGTACCCCTTTGCCAGCGCCCACTCTGCGCAGTAGGTTTCGGTGCAAGGAGGGAAGGAGAAGGTTGGGGGTCAAGCGACTGTTATGCTGGGGGAGGTAGAAGGACCGACCACTCCCAGATTCTCCTAGCAACTGAGCCAGCATGAACTTGCAACGCTCTTCACTGTAAATATTTTGCACTAAGAATAAAGCCTGGAAAAGACAGGTCAGAGTCTCGCCTGTTTGCTCTCGAGCAACCACACCATCATCTGACAGCAATCTGGGAGTCTCTGAGGTTGCTCAGGGGTAGCAGTGAAAAGGCAGCACGATGAGCAAGCCAGGGACAGGCGCTGAGATGCAGTAGGCAAAAGCCATAACCGCCCTGATGGAGAGAAACAGAGACCTGGAGGCGCATGTCACTGATCTTGAAGCCTGGCTGGAGGAGCGCCAAGCACAAGACAGCCAGGTCAGAGTTACTCCAATTGGGAGAAAGGTCCCAGTGTTTGTGAGGAAGTTTTGGGGGAAGCCTCAGGATTACAACACTTTTAGAACTGAGATCAAATATGCTTTGGACTTGCAAGAAGGGGAGTTTGCTAATGACATGGAGAAAATTGCTTTCGTAATTGGACACTTGGAGGAGAGTGCTAAGGAATGGGTAAGACCCCTGATAGCAGCGGGGAACTACGCCCTGAAGGACCTAGCAAAGTTTTATCAGGCGATGGACGCGATGTTCTCCAGCGAAGTGGAGGGAAATGTGACACAACAGGTATTGCTGGGTCTCAGACAGGGATCTCTGACAGTCCGAAGTTATTGGCCGCGCTTCGTGGTGCTAGTGCACAAGTTAAACTGGGATTTAGACCTTTTGTGGCAGGCTTGAATCCAGAGGTGAAAGATGAACTGTTGAGGTCCTCGCCTGCGCTCCATGGATGAATTAATGAAAGCAGCGTTAGCCATTGGGATTCAACAAGAGGCGCGAGCACAGGAGAGGCGGGAGGCCTGTGGGAGCGTTTCTATGGCATTTCTGTTTCCTGAGATGCCAGCAGGGGCTTCACACAGGCTGCTGCCAGCAGAACCTAGGGAAATCGGTGGAGCCCGTCCGCCAGAGATTTCAAATGCTGACGCTCTCAAGAAGAAAGAGGGAAGGTACTGGAAGCCAGCCCAAAAGTGCTTCATTTGTCAATGCACCAGGCATTTTGCCAAGGCTTGTCCACAGAGGAAGGCCTGGCAAGGCATGGTGGGGGCAGCTGGTCAAAGAGGAGGAGGGAGACAAGCCCCAGGCGCAGGGAAACGAAAGAGCCTGGCTGCAGACCGACCAGGGCAGCAGCGAGGCGGGCGACCAGTAGAAAAGCCCTGACCAGACCCTCCCAAGGCGGGCATAACAGTCAAGGCGATGCTAGAGCTCCCTAATGGGCATCCAATAGAAGTCCAAGCCTTGATAGATTCTGGTGCCTCCACAAACTTTTTCAGCAGAGATTTCGCTTTAGAACACCAGCTACACCTGCTGCCACTAGATTTCCCCTTGCAGGTGACCCCCATTGATGGGAAAGAGCTACTGGGAGGGGAGGTCACACACCAGGCGCTCCCCGATGAGGCTGAGAGTCTCCAAGCACGTGGAAACCATTGCCTTTCACGTGGCCACCTTGGCAGGACCCCCCATTATTCTGGGAATGAGTTGGTTGGCACTCCATGACCCGGTGGTGTCGTGGCATCAAAGATCCCTTACCTCTGGGTTGGCACACTGTGTGGAACACTGGGGGAGGAGGAGGAGCCATGGGTGGCTATGGCCAAGGTTGCTGGAGCGACTCTGGAGCAGAGGAAGAGCGTTCCACAACAACATGTGGATTTGAAGGAGGTGTTCAGTGAGAGGGAGGCTAACAAGCTAACCCCCCCCCCCCAGGCCTTATGACTGCCAGATCAATCTGGTCCCAGGGCCAAGCTGCCTGTGGGTAAGCTGTATTCAATGTCCGACCAAGAGATATGAAAGTTGAAGGAGTTTGACAAAAATTTAAAGAGGGGTTTCATAAGGGAATCCAAGGCAGTAGGGGGCAGTCCAGTGTTCTTTGTGGACAAGCGAGGGACGAACGAACACCGTCTTGTTGTAGACTTCAGGGTCCTAAACAGTTTAACGGAACTCATGGCCTTCCCCATGCCCAGAATTGACGCGAGTAAGGCAAGGGAATTTTTTTAGCAAGCAGGACATCAGGGGGGCATACAACCTGATTAGGGTGCGGGAGGGAGACAAATGGAACACGACCATGTTCACCCCTCTTGGGGCATTTGAATATCTTGTTATGCTATTTGGATTACAAGCGGGCAGCGCATGCTTTCAAGTCTTTATGCACCACGTGTTGGGCCCCCTGCTGTACAAGAATTGTGTGGCCTTTTTGGATGACATTTTAATCTTTTCAGAAAATGAAGCACAGCACGTGAGCAGTGTCAGGCAAGTGTGGGAGAGACTGAAGGAGCATCAGTTGTGGGTCAAGCTGGAAAAATGCCAATTTCATGCTCAGATGGGCGAGTTCCTGGGGTACCGGCTGTTGGACAAGGGGCTGGCCATGGATCCGGAGAAGGAGAAGGCAGTGCTGGACTGGAAGAGCCCCAAGACAAAAAAAGATGTGCAACGGTTCCTGGGCTTCAGCAACTTCTGCAGAAAGTTTATCAAGAACTTTGAACACTTGACAGCGCCTATAACTGATTGCCTCAGTGGGAAGAAGTTTTCGTGGACAAGAGAAGTACAGCATGCCTTTGAAAGTTTAAAGAAGGCCTTTGCATCAGAGAACCAGCTCCTGCATGTTGATCCTGGGAAGCCTTTGAGGGTGGAGACGGATGCTTCAGACCGAGCCATCGGAGCAGTGCTGTTGCAGCAAGGTCCAGGGGAAGATTGGAGGCCTTGTGCCTTTTTCTCCAGGAAGCTGAGCAAATCGGAGCAAAATTACACTATTTATGACAAGGAATGGCTAGCCATCTATGCGGCTTTTAAGCAGTGGAGACACTTTTCGATCGGGGCGCAGCACCAGATGGACGGAGCATT